GTAACGGTGTTGACTGCCGTTTTTTCCGTTGTGGTTCCACGAAGTCAACTCTATTGCCTTGCGTTCGCTCCGCTGCTGGGGTGTCTTGTGACGTTGAGTTCCTCAAGATGGTGTCTAACTTTGTCTGTATTGCACATGAACTCTCAGCCTGGTCCCTACTCATCGTATCCATTCTCGTTTCCAAACTCCCCAACTGATTATTCACTGCGTCGTATCGTTGCTTCATTTCTTGCATGTCTTTTCTGATGTTCTTGTCTCGCTCTTCATCAGTGGTATCTACCTGTTCCGACATCTGCTGAAGCCTTTCCTCTGTCGCTCTTGCTAGATTGAAGTAGCTGTCCAGGTACTCATGTTTGTTGTTTCTTATTTCTTTCCTTATCACATCTCTATCCTCTTCGCTGTGCTTCAGTTTCTTGTCTATCTGATCTAGCTTTGCCATCAAATCGTCTAGCTCAAGAGTAGTTGTTCCATGGTCAGTTGTTGTCCTGTTGTTGGTTGCTGTTCCCGGTCTGATCTGATCTTCGTTTTGGTCGGTGTCTGTCGTTCTCGTGGAAACTGTTCCGAATGTTTTGCATTTCTCGGCTTTCGTTTCTTCCACTGCTGCGTCTCTTGACTTTATTCCGACCATTATCGCCAATCTTTCAGTAAAAAACGTTCTTTTTGCTTGAGACTCGTCCTTCACCGTTTCTGGCGTGTTGCCTGTTGTGTCCTCCACATTGTCTATCGGTGAGAACTCCATGGACTTTGGATTAGGTTCTTCCGCATTCGGCATCGGTGTTGACTCTGTCGTCTTCTTTTCCACCTCATCCACACTCTGGTCCGGTGTCTCTAGTTCAATTTCGATGGCGGGCTCTGCTTGTTTCCCTTCCGTGCCCTCTTTTGCGCTGTTCTCCTTATTACTCCTCGTGTTGACCATGCTAACTGAAAAGTTCTTCTTTGTTATCTTTGGGCCCATTGATGTCGTTTTACGTAGCGACGAGTTATATTTTGTCTTTGCTTCAGTAGATCTTTTTTCAGCCACCGGTACCCTGCTCCGCCTCATTATTTTAATTTACAATTGCTCCTATTTACAGTATTACTATATACAAAATTCTACTCTAAGATTAAAATCTCTTTTGACAAAATCAATAAAAAAGGAGATATACAATTTAAAAAAAACAACGTTTCCTAAGCTTTTTGAAAATTCTGTATGTTCTTGATCCCCACAGTACCGGATCTTTTAGGACTGGTTAGAAAATTTAATTTTGCGATTGGTTACTTCAACCTGTCTCAGCACTCTTTAATACCGTCACCCCCCTTCTTTATACTGTTCCAAGACTTCCTCTTTACTGTCCCAAGACTATTCAGTGCTGTCCCAGTACTTCTTGTTAATGTCCCAAGACCACTGTCCCAAGACCCTTGCCCTAAGACGACTGTCCCAAGACTAGTGTCCCAAGACTACTGTCCCAAGACTACTGTCTCAAGACCCTTGCCCTAAGACTACTGTCCCAAGACTACTGTCCCAAGACTACTGTCCCAAGACTACTGTCCCAAGACTACTGTCCCAAGACTACTGTCCCAAGACTACTGTCCCAAGACCAGTGTCCCAAGACCACTGTCCCAAGACTACTGTCCCAAGACCAGTGTCCCAAGACTACTGTCCCAAGACCAGTGTCCCAAGACCACTGTCCCAAGACCACTGTCCCAAGACCACTGTCCCAAGACTAGTGTCCCAAGACCACTGTCCCTAGAACACTGTCCCAAGACCACTGTCCCAAGACCACTGTCCCAAGACCACTGTCCCAAAACCACTGTCCCAAGACCAGTGTCCCAAGACCACTGTCCCAAGACCACTGTCCCAAGACCACTGTCCCAAGGTTACTTTCCCAAGACTACTGTCCCAAGACTAGTGTCCCAAGACCACTGTCCCTAGAACACTGTCCCAAGACCACTGTCCCAAGACCACTGTCCCAAAACCACTGTCCCAAGACCAGTGTCCCAAGACCACTGTCCCAAGACCACTGTCCCAAGACCACTGTCCCAAGGTTACTTTCCCAAGACTACTGTCCCAAGACCAGTGTCCCAAGACCACTGTCCCAAGACCACTGTCCCAAGACCACTGTCCCAAGACTAGTGTCCCAAGACCACTGTCCCTAGAACACTGTCCCAAGACCACTATCCCAAGACCACTGTCCCAAGACCACTGTCCCAAAACCACTGTCCCAAGACCAGTGTCCCAAGACCACTGTCCCAAGACCACTGTCCCAAGACCACTGTCCCAAGGTTACTTTCCCAAGACTACTGTCCCAAGACCAGTGTCCCAAGACTGTGTCGTACCAAGACTGCTCTGGTCCAAGACTGTCCCAAGACTGCACCGTTCCCAGACTGTCCCAAGACTGCACTGTCCCAAGACTGTCCCAAGACTGTACTGCTCCAAGACCGTCCCCAGACTGCAATGTCCCAAGACTTCTTCGGTACTGTCCCAAGACTTGTCACTAAGTGTCTGGATAGTAGGATCTCTTCTTCTTCGTTGTGGGGACTCTTGAACCGCTGTACCGTGTACCACCACTTGAGTTCTAGTAAAAATTTTCCCAAAATCCCTATCTTAATGGCCAAAATCCAAATACTGACCCCCTGTATTTATCTCCCTCTCGTTGTTTCAGGCTATTTGAAACCCCAACTTCTTCGCAGGTATCTTGTGATCACCTGTTCGTTCAAATACCAACAACAAATTTTCACCAAAACGTAAAAATTTTAACAGGAAAAATTACAAAAACAGAGAGATGAACCCACCTAAAAATCAAAGCTGACAGATGTCAACCTTTGTCCGAAAAAATGTCTGGTACCCGATTGCCACGCGTTTTCCTCCCCCTGCTAGCGATCTTATTGGGTATCACAAAAACTGTCTATGTCCGTTCCCCCCTACCAATCCGACCAGGGTACCTACCTTAACTCGATGTTAAATTTGGATATCCGCTTCTTATAACCAACGCGTGTAAGTATCTAATGTAACTAAATCGACGATGCCGAACAATTAGTTACTCTAATGTGTCCCCCCTTTTTACAATTTAGAACCACCAACCTCTAACCTAACCAGCCCCCCTTCTAACCTCCCCCCTCTTTAGCCCCCCTCTTAAGCCGAAAAATCCCTTAAGCGCCGGGTGCTAAACCTCTCGAGAGAAAACCGTAGACCTGTTTCCAGGCCTGCTTGTGTAAAAATTTCCTCAAAACAATGGGGCTCCGCTTATCCAATTTTACACTTATTTCCTATAATGTAATGTGGATTTTAACGATACCCGTTTGCCCAACATGAGAACACCCCTGTGCGTCCTCTTCTTGTTGTAGCGATCCCGTGCTGGTTGTCCCCCTCACGTGCACTGCACTTGACACCAGCACCACCTTCCCACTTGGCTGGTCACCTCTTCCAGTCAAGTTTCCTAGAGGTTCAGCTCAGTCCTTGTGAACCACTTTCCCACTCGGCTGGTCACCTCTTCCAGTCAAGTCTCCTAGAGGTCCGGCTAGGTTGCAAGCTATCTGAAAACCCTTAACAACGCCCCCCACTTGGGCACCTTATTGAAGTCACTGGTTTAGATTGCTAGATTGATCGAAACGATCGGTCTTATAAAACAGTATGGGTATACTATTTAATTAATATAAAGGTTTGATCCAACTAATTTGGTATCCAAGTCACTGTTTTTTTTTTAATGGTTTTTGTTCCTTTTTCTAAACTTTTTTCTTGTTTTTGTTCCGCTTTTGTCTTTTTGCTCGTTTTTTTTTGTCCCCCTAGTTACACCCCTTACTCGGTTAGCTAGGCCTCGTTCGGAGAGCGTACCAGGAAGTTTTCTCAAGTTTTCTTAAAAAGCTATCACGGTACAACCGGAAGGTTTACACGTTCCCGCTGAACCGTACCACCGGTACTCTAGAATGGGCATGCAGCCCGGAGCTGCGTCAAGTGGGTTCGACTCCGTAGTCATGATGTCGTAAAAACACCCAGGAGCGCCATAAAAACACTATGTAAAAGTCGCCTACTTCGGTCACATATGAGGCTTAAGAAAAATAGGCCCTATAACCATTGGCTCAAGAGTCAGGGACAATATCTCTTGTGTTTTTCTACCTCAAAAACGGTCGGAGCCAATTCGGTTCGCTTGCGACATGAGACTAGAACCCGTTACAGCTTAAAGGCTACTACCAAAATATCCCCCCTACTCTAGAAAATAAGAACGTTCCCATACTTAGGTCTCGAGATACCCAAAATACACGAACGCCGTTAAAAACAGGGTCGGAACAATCCGTTAAGTTACTTCTTAGTAGACAGTGGAACTTTGATCCATTTCAGATGGATCAACCTAAAACTCGCCTTATCTCAACATAACAATCATAAAACACACTCGAGAAAACTAAATTTGGTACTTACATAGTAGCACGCTTGAGAAACAGAGTAATTAAACACTCCGGCAATTAAAGACTCCGGCATAAATATAATCAAATATAACTCAAGAAGTTTTCCCACGATGAGTTCCAATCAAAGGAAGTAAGTTTTAACTCAAGAATATAGTTTTGGATCTGGACCATTGGGAGACTTCACTTGTCCGCCTTTCCGTTGAAGGTTCACACTGGTCCAGTTGATTTTAGCTCTGCTCTCGTATCTGTTCTGTCTCCTATATCAGATAGGACAGCTCTACTCTAGTTTTCTACGATGGAAATTGAGAATAGCAATTTCCCACTGTATATGTTTGACAACTTCCCGCAATTGTTAATTCGGTCGTTCTGATTTCTTATTTGATGTTTTCAGTTGTCGCGAGAAAACTGAGCATGACAGGCTCCATTCAACTCTAGTATGAATGTTCTTTTTACTGTACTGGTGTCTTCAAAATGGTATGAAAAGAAACAAATTTGCCGTAGCTTTGTTGGATCTTTCAAAAGCTTATATTTAAACCAATCATGAGTTCCTCAAAACTAAAATAAATCGTCTGGGTTTCTCAAATGGACTTACCAAAAATTGAAAATTTCTCATTTCCCAGCGGAATAAAAAAATACTTGCTGATCTAGTTTTCTTTAAATCTTGTTTTCTTCTTCGAAAACTGCTTTTTCTGACGTTGAGCATTGCCGTTCAGCATTCTGTCGTTCAGCATTGTTCACCAAGGTTCTACTTTAAGTTGCAATGTCTTAACTTTCAAAACAATAAAAGCTAAACTTACAAACTATTTATATACGTTTAAAGAAGGTCGAACAGTGACAACCTATGAAGAAGCATGATTATCTATAAACATAAATTATTTGTAGATGCATATATTTATGTTGGTATGATTTTATCTAAACCGTGGATTGGCTCGTATGACAACATTTTTTTCTCATGACGTTAAAAGGTGCAAGTTCTGCTCTGTCGCTGTATCGAAATTTCATCGAATCTTATCCGATTGGTATAAAATGCGCCTATTTACTCAATTATTGAATTGAAGCTCTATTATCTAAGGATGTATTTGTTTTCCGGTCAATGATACGTATTTTATCTAAGAAGCTGTTTTACCAGATAAAATATGAATAAAATTGTCCAGTATATAGTTCTTTAACATGTCGAGTCAACCAAATGCTCTTATAATTGGAACAGGTGAATATGTCACGGGTTACGTGCCTGGTGGAGGATCCAAGTCTGACAAATCATGCGGGGTTGTAGGTCTGGTACATTTCGACCTGCGGCGACGTGGTCTAATTGGTGATCAAATTCTAATTGCCGGGACTAATGGAACTAAGTTTCCACATGCTAGAGAGCATTTGAAGAGATTGATTGATGGCAGGTACAAGGACTTGAGTTCAAACTTCGAGAGTTTCCCGGGGAATGACGTAAAGAGAGACCCAGATGCATATTTGGCTGCACTGAAAATATTGAAAAGCGGTGAGTGTATGATCATTTTTCATTATAGTTTTCACTCTTGAGTATGTATGACTTCAAAAAAATGAGAAAACCACTATTTTAAAGAGTAAGGGAACGACCAGATTTTCCCTTTTACAGGTCTTGATGTTTTTTTTCAGTAAGATTTCTTGAAATGTGATCACGCTCAAATTTACTGTTTTGCGGTTTGACTTATGAAGTTTTTTTAAGTTCAGTTCATTTCATGTGTTAAAAGTGAATAAGGTCACTAAAATCGTGAATGACTTCTAGTTTCAAAAATGGACTTTTCAAATGGAAATTTTTGATTTCTCAGCGAAATAATGAAACTACCTGTTGATCCAGTTTTCTCTAAACGGGATTACTGTTCGAAAAAAGGCAATAGTAGTAGAATAGGCTTTAGGACAGAATAGGCTTCAGTCAAAGACAGTATTTGAAATTCAAAGTTCTTCAATGTGAGATAATTTTTCGTTGATATTGGAAAGTAGAGAAACGTTCAAAGATCAACATTTTTTCGATTTCCTTGTTCTTTTACACTGTTGGTTTTATTCGATTGTGATTCCATCTTGCTTAAAGCGTTTCAAAAGGTTACTAAAATGTTGATTTTCTGATGGTGGAAGCTAGTTGCTAAATTTCTAAGGACTAAGTTTATTCGTGGGTAGTGAACCACTATTAAAATCTTGAATTATTAAATAACCGCGCTTGGTTTCAGGCGACATAGTGTCTGTGTTCACCCCTGATGATACTCATTTTGCGATGACCAAGGCCGCTCTGGAACATGGATGCCACGTAATGGTAGCCAAACCACTAGTTCTTGACTTTACACAGCACCAGATTCTAGCGACATTAGCCAACGAGAAGAATAGGCTGCTATTAGTTGAAGTGCACAAGAGATTTGATCCGATCTACGCAGATGCGAGACAGAGACTAAACTCGGGGAAGATGGGCGACTTCGGATACTTTTACTCCTACATGAGTCAGCCAAAGTTCCAGCTAGATACATTTCAGGTTAAAAACCCAAGTATTAACTATGAAACATTCTATTGGAAACTGTTTCAATCTGAAAAACAAAATTGACACTGATTCGGTTTTAAAGGCATGGGCTGGCATATCGAGTGACATCAGCTACTACCTCAACTCGCACCACGTTGACTGGCATGTGTGGGCCATGCAGGGCAAAGGAAGGCCTCTGAAAGTATCTGCTACTAGCTCTTCAGGCCAAGCTGAGAAAAGGTACTTCTGGCTTGTGTAATGCTTATAATCGAATATCTTCTTAATGAGTTGTATTGTTTATTTTTTTTGAGCTTAAATCTAACTTTTTTTTCATAAACATAAACACAAAATAAACATTTTGATGACTGCGGGTGAAGGGGCGGCTATAATGGGAAAGGCCACAAAGAAGTATACAGTTTTAAATTGTATTGCACTTTTTTGGCTTCAAATAGTTGTTGTTTTTTGGTAATGCTTTTATTGGATTTTAATTAAATAGCCAATATGCATGATACTGACTGTATCCTATATTGTGTTGTTGTAGTTGCCTCGTCAAGGGGAAGCGCATAAAGTTTCGTCAATTTGGTCAGTTTTTGTTATAAATGGACTTCGTTTTCGTTTGGAATGGTTAGTGCTTTAATTCAGTACTTCTTCAAGGAAGACGTATCCTATATTAAGAGCTATTGGTTGAGTACCTGTTGGCTTGGGTGGTAAAGCGATTGACTCGCGATCAATAGTTTGGGAGGAGTGTGAACTTAAACTAAAGCTAATTGTTTTTCCAAGTGTGAAAGAAGGCGAAGTTCAGCTGCTCATTTTTGTAGATATTGCTTCAGAGACTGCGCAAGTAAATGGAAAGTTATCACAATTTACAGAATTTTTAGTCATTACTTTGGTACGCGCTAGAATGTAAATGTACGCATTTTGATGAACATGTGTAAAAAGTTGGATCTCTCTAATTTTATTGTCATCTTAAGGAAAGTTGTTTTCTTCCGAATTTTTAAGAGTGATTGCTTCTTTTCGGCGAAACAAAAAATTTAAGTCGAACAAATAATTTCTTTTCCAAGCGTTCAATCACTAAAAAAAGACAGTCGTGGCCAATTTGTTTGCGACCCTTGCAAATTGTTTGAAAAAACGGCAAAAAGGGGGGTTTTAAGCACTTTTTGGACAGTTTTGACCGAAAAGTTGTGTTTTTCGGCGCGCTCTCCCACCTCAAAGATAGTATATATTGGCGCCAAAGACGCCTTTGGAAAAATTTTAGGGTCAGTCAGCCACAAATGGATATCTCAAAATAGAACAAAGGGAGGATTCTTTGGGTAGTCAGGCGTCAGTCCCCACACCCCTAAATCCGCTACTGGCGGGTGGGCCAGCATATTTGTATGTCCCGAGTTTTTGAATCCATTAATCATAAATTTCTCAGGATCCTTTAATGATTAAAGTTTGAATTTTTTGTAGATTCAACGATGGTCGTCATTGCGAAGACACCATTACCCTAATGGTGGAGTGGGAGAATGTTATCTCGGGGTCAAAAGGTCACGCAGTGTACACTGCCTCCTGGACTGACCCCACCTCTGATGTGCACAGTCAGCAACACTTCTACTGCCAGACTCACAAAGGGTTCCTCAAAGCAGATCAGGTGATAATTAAATGCGCTCCTTTGATGTCATTTATCAACATAATGCAAATTTAATGCCATCTCGTGCGGTTATCTGCTGGTTATGATTTTATTTCGCCCTTTGCATTTAAGCTGTCTTTTTAGCCCTGATGTGATGTAATTTTAGGACCAAATTTTGAGCTTATTGAATACTTTTAAAATTGACATTAAGTAACGGTGAAATTCGACGTGAGGTTTTTAGTAGTGTGTTTTAGGCACATAGAGGCTACTATGTGAGTACGGATGAGGATGGCTTCAAATCTGTCAATCCCCTGTACATGAAGTACACCACTGACTCGGAGGGATACTACAGTGGTCAATCTGGCTACGGATACCAGAGCTTTGAGAAGTTTGTACTGGCTGCACAACAGGTGAGTAAAGCACACTATTGAATGCTAACCAATCAGCGCTTGCTAGGAAAATCATTCAAATGGAAATAGATTCGAATTTAGTGGAAACATAATTTTGTGGAAACATAAATGGCCCATTTCGCCACGCTACGAAAAATAAGAATTATGTCGTTAATGGTAATCTGTCGAATCACTGGATGGTGACTGAAAAATTCTGAATTAACATTGGGTTTTGATTAGGTGAACGACGGTTTGAAATCAGCTTGTGACTTCGAACACCTGCTCCCTACTGCTTCTACCACTTTGCAAGTGAGTGCAATTCTACACGCAGGCAGAATTAGTCTGGATCGGAAGAAAACTGTTGTAATAAACTACTCGGATGAAAACTCTAAATTTGACCCTGTGTCTATCTCAACATAATTTAATTGAAAAAGTTCTTTGTATTCTAGAGATATACAATTAAATTAAATCTGGTGATTGAACTCCGTCTTGCGGAACATGGATGTTTTTTTTAAATACACTTGCGATTAGCAAGGGAATTGTAATCGGGTACTAGTTTTTCCTCTAAGTAAGTTTGCAAACAATTCGCACGTGTGATGTTACTCACTGACTTGCTACTTGCTCAGTTTCATGAAAATTCAAAATTAATTAACTTTTCCTTTCTGCTTCCAATTATTGCACTAGCCAGCGTTAGTGTATTAGTGTGAACCTTCTTTTTTTCTAAGCTAACTCGCAAATTAAAGTGTTCACTTATTTGATGGAAATTTGCTATAATCACGATGTGTAGCATTGGAAATTTCAAAACATTTGTTCTCTGCGGGATTTGTGGCTATTTTTTGTGGTTTACTAAGCGTCCATGGCTAGGTGGTAAAAATATCTAGGTCGGATCCGTGGTTGCCGAATTTTTATTAATTCGAGGTTTCTCTATACTTTTATTGCTCTTTATAGAGCTGTTTTTTGTCGTGTTCGCGATGGTGTTTGCGAAGAGTTGTGTGATAGTTAACTTTCTTGCAACCAAAATAGCAGTAAAAGTGCTCTTTTTAGTGCCAATTCTGGCGGAACATCTGTTTTTGCTTGAGTAAGTTTACCCATTTTTCCTAGCCCAGTTCTTGCTGTCTGACATGTTATTAGAAAGGGCGTCAGCTAAGCAAGCATAAAGGTCAACTGGAGCAAAGGCGGAGTCGATTAACTTATAATCTTAAGTTCCCATACGCTGAGTCATCTTTTGCAAACTCACAGTCCTGCGGGTTTGTTTGGAACAACCCACAATTTAATAGGGTGAAAAATCTAAGTTTTGTGAAAACATTGAAATAGTTATGTAATTTCTGGGTTCTGCGAACTTTTTTACAGTTTCCGTTTTAAAAAAAAAACAAACGAAGGAAACCTCTGATATTTGGGCAAGCATGCCAACGATATAAGCATTTTTCATTTACTTTTCAGTCTTAAGATCCCAGATAAATCTCATTCTAATGCTGATTGCTTCCCATCTTAGATTCGGTTACGATTTGGAGAAAATTTAAGTGGATGTGCCTTGTGAGATCTTAATTTTTTTTTTAAATTTTTTTTATCGCAGCGAATTTTCCTCTAAGAAGGCTATAAGTGTAAATAGCAAAAAAAAATTCTCCTGAAAAAGATTGTAAAACAAGTGTTCGGATAATGGACAAACCTCGAATGACCCGTTGCCAAATAAAGTCTCTGATTCAGTAGCTGAATTAAGGAGGGGCTGACGCCCCTTCTCAGGGATTTGAACCCTGACTACCCAAAGAGTCCCCCTTTGGTACTATTTTATGACCTCCTTCGGCACCAACATAAACTATTTTTGAGAGTGGAGCGCCTAAAAACGCCTTTTGTGGCCTGTTGTTTTCAAAATTGTGTCTGCGGTGCCAAAATGTTGGCCAGAGCATACGCTTTGTAGTGATTTGGGAGAGCTCGGAACATCAATTTGGTCGACATGAAAAAAAGTTTTATGAAAATCTGCCTCCCCGTCTGGAGAAGATCCTGTCCGCCTCTGCTGTCAGGTACAGAAAATTGTCTATATTTGTCTGTTGAATATTGATAAATTACTCGCCATGTCCATGTTGGGTTTTAAATCAATGTTGGCCGCAACTTTTTCTGTTACGCAAAAGTCAGATATAATTATGATATTGAAGGACAATTTTTGCCGGGAAGGGTTACAGACTTGGATTGGTTTTTTTAATAATTAGGTGCCATGGACGCAGTCTCTTCGTGGGCGTTGCCGTTTGTATTCCGCAGAAAAATTTCAGTTCGGATTTCGTCTCTCTTTTTAATTGGTTGTCGATCTTCTCAAAATATGCCAGTTTCCGTCGTTAAAATTGTACCTCTGGTGAGAGTTTTTGCTTTGTGCTGAGTGGGTCGATTCATTCATACCATTAGTGCACTTTATGGATACAAAAAGCTTTTCAACAAGACACAAGTCGAAGTTTAAGAACTAATAGTATCACGGTAGTTTTCAAGTGTTGATAATTCATCTCTTTTTAGGTTATTAACTGAATTTGGCTTTGAAATGAAGACTTAAGTTATACACATGGTCAATTATTTATTTTAAAACTTTTCTGTGTATAAAGTCAAGTGTACTTTCTTGAAGTTCAATTTGAGAAAAAATATATTTTGGGATTCAAAACCACAACATTTCTTGTTTCAAATGATTATTTAACAATTGTGCTACAACTAAATTTTGTTCCGACCACTGAAACTTGGGAGGATATTCGTATTCCGTTGTCTCTCAATCAGGTAAAACAAATAATTATCAGCACTTACCAAATTATAAATTGCCTAAATCTGGAAAAAAAAATTAGAAAAGCAATTTGAATTGAAAAAGAAAATAGAAAGCATTTGTAGATTTAGGGGATTGCTTCTCTAAGGCCTTTCACACACCATAACTTAACGGCCCAGCAAAATGGTTACTTGGGTTATGAATTCATCAGGGTGACCGAGATTCATTACTATCCACAACTCCGTACTGTATTCTGTTACTTACCCTCTTAGTGTACTGCTCTTTGGGCTGTCTCGTCCGCTCTCACGATCGCAATAACTTCCAGTTGTAATTAAGTTCAGGTAAAAATCCGCCCAAATACAGAAGGCTCTCAGTGGCCATAATAATCTAATCAAAAGGAAATGGTACGCGACCAATCAACACAATCGCCTAACTCCAATTCAACTCACAACTAACTTAACTCTCTCTCTCTCACTCTCCAGAGAATCCTAAGTAATGAATTACACACAATAATTCCACACAACTACTCAATTCGACATGCTAAAATTACTAGTGTCTCTACGGATCACTATTCCTTTGAGGTACTTTATTTGTGCAATTTGTGCAAGATTTTTTTTTCAGATGCAGAATGAAATTTAAGTTGATTTTTAAATATTTTTTTGAAATTAGGATTCATTTTAAGTTCTAGGGAAAAAATCAGATAAAGGGGAAAAAACTCAGATGGATGAAAAAATCGTAAGAGCTGGGGACAAATGGGCAAAGCACTTTTAAATTTTTCAGGTCGGTCAACCAAAGTTGCAAAAGTTAAATACCATCGTAGATTTTGATTATCAGTGGATCCCTGAGGGGAGTAAAGGCGCGTGAGCTGAGAAAGTACGTTAAATTGACAAGACATCGATGAAAACAAGGAAGATGAGAGTAAATTTAGCAAATAGTTCTAAAAGATTCCACAGAAAGCCGAGTAAAACTGGGCAACACAAGATTTTATCGGACATGATTCTTACCGAAACGAAAAAAAAAATCAAAACAAAGAAATTTAGTTGAAAATGGTGGTAAGTTTTCAGAACAGTCAAGAAAAAAACAGACTCAAAATAATATAAAAGCAATACAGGTTGATATAATATAGCAAAATAGATTGGTAGTTCGAATTCGTGAGGGGGGAAGGCGCGCTTCTCTAAATTATTTTTTCCTACTCATTGAAAATATGCTCATGTCCATACATCAATCATTTAGAAAACAATTGCTGTTCTAGTCACGACTGAGTGGTTAAATAAATGTAGCGATTGCTAGATAATATTTCACAATTTTTGGAAATTGGAGATGACAACAACGCAATGATACCTGGACTACTCTTGGATACATTCACTTATCAAAGATACGTCTAAACTATCATTGTGTTTTTGTTATCTTCTATTTGCAGATTTTTGTCAAATATGATCTAAACTCGTTTCATTTTTCTACCCACTTCGTCGTGAATGGAACAGCGTTTGTGGTTATAGCGATTGATGTATGGAGATGATCGGATTTCAATGAATGGACTGAAGCAATTTAGAGGTACCTTTGCCACCTTGATGGATTCGACCCACTGATCTATTTTACCTTTTTTATAGCATACTAGATATTGTTTTTTCTAAAATTTTATTTTACGGCTGGTTTTCTTTTGACCGTTCCGAAAATGTAACATGTTCAACTTAATTGATTTTTTCCATTATGGTGGGAACAAATTCCGATAACATTTTTGTTGCCCAGATTTATTCAGCTTTCTGTGGATAGTTTTTGAATTAATTCGTAATTTTATACTCAATTTCCTTTTTTATCGGAAATGAGTAGAGGATTTGTCAATTTAAAGTTTTTTTCTCTTCTTCTTTCAATAATTATTAGTGCGTTGAACAGTTTAAGGCCACAGAAAATGCTAAATCTCGTGAACTAAAGACCCCCGCCTCAAACTACAAAAATCACAGCTCCAAAAGCAGGCAAGCTTGTAACGTGGTGCTTGAAAGCTAAATAAAAGGTTAAAGTCTGCACTGGTGTACAGTTTGTGCGTGATTACGTGTCAAAACTGCCTTTTCAAACTAATATTTGATACTGATATAAACGTAACGCAAATTTTCTGTCTATCCTTTAAAGCCTATATCGTTGTAACTTCTGTTCAAAAAACGATGGAACTACAAAAAAACCAGAAAGAACTTTCAGATTTTTTTTACCACACAGTATTTACAAATCGAAGTGACGTTTTTTGCATCTGGTAACAAATAAACTACAGGGTGATTTCCAAACGTGTTAGTTTAATTATTCTTTCATTTTAAAAAACTAGGGTTATTGAAGCTACTATTTATGTAAGAGGCAGCACAAAATTTGCGAGGTCTGATGATACATTTAATTAAGTTGGATTAATTTTTTTCGCGCATGTTTTGCGCTTTAACGAACTTCCATTTCTTTTTGCGCTGATCTCGTTTATACAGTACTGTTTTTGAAGAAAAAAAACGGATAAAATTAACTGAAGTTACGTCCTGAAACTCGTTTTTCTCACCTTCGGATACCTTTGGAAAAAAAGGATGAAGATGAAAACTGTTTGAAATTTTTACCAGCGTGTTTGGTGCAGTTTGGTGCAGTTGTTGCCCTCCTTATATTTGAATCAAATGAACTGATCCGTTTTGAGGGTATAATTTTTGTTTAGATTTTCACAAAATACATTTCAACTTAAATTTTGAATCTCTTATGCTCAATGTCAATTTAATTACTCTGAAGACATCGCGCGAGTTTTTGGCCAGCCTGAAAAAAGGTTAAAGTAATTCAAAAAATTGTGGATTATCATTTTTCTCCAGACAAAATTCGTATCTTTAACTAGCAGGGTTGACCAAAAATGCTTAACATACAATTCTCATAAATGCAAAAATTCTTGTCATACAACTCCATACATTACCATATGTAAAGAAAATTGTACGAATTCTCTCTAGTAAACATTTTCCCATAAATGGAAGTTGTGTGACTAAAATTTTGCCATAAATGTAAATTGTATGACTAAAAAGTTGTCATTTATAAAAATTGATTGAAAAACAGTTTTCGGAAATTTTTTTCAAAAGCGGCACAAATTACATTAAAGCCCATCTAATGCGCCGCGCAATCTGTGAACAGAGAAAAAAACCTGAGAAAAAAAAGTTTTTTTTTGAAGTTGCAACCTCAGTTTTTTATAATTTTCTCAACTCTTTAGATAGCAGCAAGATCCTAATCATAATCGTGAAAGGGGGGTAGTGGAGAGGGGTTTATATCAAACTTTTTTTTCAAAAACAAACCTGCATATCTGGGAGAAATTTTCGGGCAAATCTCCCCAACATCGTGAATCCACTTCTTCTGACATCCACTAATGCATTTTCTATAAAAAACATTATTACACGTGGGAGAAAAACAGAAAAAAATCGAAAGAATCGAAAACATTATAAGTTTGCAGTTGCTTTCCGACAAATGACAAAATTGAAAACTTGAGGCCACCATGGGATTCATAAATGAGAAGAGTTGGTCGAAAGTTAGCCAAGCGGTGGCGCTCAAAAGCACTATGCTGCGCTGTTTTTACTATAAAACTGTTTGGTAAGCATGTTTTTCCCCTTTAAATTATTTTGAAATATCCATTTTTGGTTACGAAACTTAAAAATTGTCTAAAGGCGTTTTTGGTGCCAAAATATACTTATTTTGAGGGGGGAGCGCGCGCCGAAAATAGAAATTTTTTAAAAAACGCCCCCCGCCCCCTCAAAAATATCCTAGATTCGCCCCTGTTTTCACTGCTTCAGCCACAGAAAATATAATACAGATGGAAATCAAATGCTTTGTTCTCTCCTCTAATCTCGCAAGACTACCAGTATATACTAGATCTATTGAGACTTGGAAATATAGGAGTAAGGTTGGGATTGGTATTAGACTAAAAAGTTGCACGAACCTATCCGGCCGAAAATAAGATAACGTGACGAACAGACGGTGGACCGTATCCAAAAATACTCCATGAAAAGACCACTCCGGACCTAAATTCATTCCAATTGACCAAAAAGACGAGAGTAAAAACGGCGGAACTATCTGTGCTTCTCGCAGAGCAGTCGGGTATACTCCATTTATATTTCATTTGTTGAATGTCTTAGAAAACGAGAAACATTCAAACACCTAAAACCAGTGTTGCGACGTTATTGATCTAATTGGCCTTCACGTTAACTCTAGAAAGATCAAAAACTCTGAGCAGGAGATGTATTTTGTAAAGTCAAACTTTCAATTGGGTCAATTAAATACTCTTTGAAAAAGTCAATAACGATATTTTTATACAAGGTCATAAAATTTTTCCAAGTTAATTTTTTCATATTCAATGGCAGTTTGCTCTCATTTGTTGAGAAACTGGTACCAACTCATTTGAAGTTTCCAACAACCGGTTTTCGAAAAGTTTCCGAAAAAAATATTCTTTATGGTGAAAATACTTGTCATACAACTTTCATATATGGAAACTGTATGGTAAGCATGTATTTCAAAAAAATTAAAGCCATTTTTTCTATCAGCAGTTTGTTCAGCAGTGCTCAAAAGCCGCAAAAATCTTTTAATTTATTTTTCAATTGTTTTTTGAAAATGTATGAAAACTGTATGATAATCATTTTCTCCATAGACTTGATGTATGGAATAGTATGATAAGATTTTTTGTTATATGGAATTGTATGATAAGCATTTTCGGTCTACGGAGTTCAACCCGGGTAGTCATTTTCAACATAAATTTTCTGCACCATCTGAAAACAATAGACGTCTTGATTTGAAAATGAAAACGATGCGTCAAGGAGCCGACACGTTCACCAACCAACTCCTTCGGTATTGTTTTATGACTTTTTTTCAAATAAAATTAATCACTGGTGTTTTCCTACATTCACGCTTCGTTATTATGCAACCTTTGAAGGTAATCTTGGTGTCAAATTTTGTAACATGATGTGATTTAATTATCAGTTTTTAGAGAACAGCCAAACAAGCTTCGTAGATCTTTTGAATGATTCTCATGCATATTTTCGTATCTTAGATAGTGACGCTTCTTCGCTCTGTCGTAAAAATGTAATATTTTAGATACTTTTATTTTCAACTTAATTGACAAGTTAATTAGCACACCTTCGCGCTTGTAAAATTTAGCTTTAAATATGCCGAGCTTCGAATTCATTTTTGAACAATCTTGTCTATAATATTTATAGCATTGCGTTTAAGCCATTTTTTGTGCGTAACTGCAGTGGCTTCTTGATTTTACACTGATAGTTATTCATCTGATAGATTAATAATATAGTTGGACCACCCGTAACAATCAGTTGATAACTGGCAAAAACAGCTTTTAATAACTGGCAAATTAAAGTGAGTCCCCTGTGGACATGTCAGCAACAATCGCCAGCTCGGAGGTTGGGGATCAATCCCTCGACATGCCTGGTTACACACCACCGATCATCGCCAGCTCGGAGGTTGGGGATCAATCCCCAGGCATGCCTGGTTACGTGCCACCAACAATCGCCAGCTCGGAGGTTGGGGATCAATCCCCAGACATGCCTGGTTACGTGCCACCAACCATCACCAGCTCGGAGGTTGGGGATCAATCCCCAGACATGCCTGGTTACGTGCCACCAACCATCGCCAGCTCGGAGGTTGGGGATCAATCCCCAGACATGCCTGGTTACGTGCCACCAACCATCGCCAGCTCGGAGGTTGGGGATCAATCCCCAGACATGCCTGGTTACGTGCCACCAACCATCGCCAGCTCGGAGGTTGGGGATCAATCCCCAGACATGCCTGGTTACGTGCCACCAACAATCGCCAGCTCGGAGGTTGGGGATCAATCCCCAGACATGCCTGGTTACGTGCCACCAACCATCGCCAGCTCGGAGGTTGGGGATCAATCCCCAGACATGCCTGGTTACGTGCCACCAACCATCACCAGCTCGGAGGTTGGGGATCAATCCCCAGACATGCCTGGTTACGTGCCAGTAACCATCACCAGCTCGGAGGTTGGGGATCAATCCCCAGACATGCCTGGTTACGTGCCACCAACCATCACCAGCTCGGAGGTTGGGGGTCGACCCCACGACATGCATGGTTACATGCCAGTAACCATCGGCAACGGGGAGGTTGGGGATCAATCCCTGGACATGCATGGTTACATGCCAGCAACCATCGCCAGCTGGGGGGTTGGGGATCAATCCTCAGACTCCGCGACAACATCTAAGGGCGGCGCCTCGAAATGGACAGGACTTAGGAAAGCGCTGGGCGTGGCAAAAAAGAAGGAGAAACCCTCAAAATGGATAGGAATTCGGTCGGCGTTGGGGATATCAGGCGAGACATTGATTCCAGAGATTGTGGCTTCAACTAGTGTTTTCTGGGTGTTCTTCTGGATAATTGCCTACGTTGGTTTAAGCGGCATGTTAGTTTATTTATAAAGCTTATCTGTGATCCTGCAACCTTTAGACTGTAGCAGTGGGGGGGGGGGGTTGGGATTTAAAGCGATGTTTACAAATTGAAACTGGGATTAGAATAGCACGTTATGCAAAGATGTAAAACTATTTCACTAAGACACTGTTTAAAATTTGGGATCTTTTCCAATTTCCCACCCCCTCGTAAAATTACAAAATAAAGCTGTGCAAAAACTGTTCACACGGCAATTTTCATGTGAGAAATGCAAAAATTTGTTGACCTGTTCACGCTGACACGATTTGATGCAGTTTTTAACATAAAAGGTTATTTTAAATAAACTTTTATATATTGATTTTCAGAAAAAATCAAAGGGGGGACTGGAAAAGAGCAGCTCATAAGATAAGCGAGAGCAGAAATGGTGGGTACTGGGTACTGACTAAACTAGTAGCACATAAACTTAAAAATTTTCAAAAAAAACTGAACAAAAGGAAAATACGAACAAAACAAGACTGCTCCTAAAAGGCGACAATCTGATTGCTCCGACTCTCCGCTTACTTCGATCTAAAAATTTTGTTAGAAAAAAAAGTTCAAAAAATGTTGAGAATTTTGAATTTTATAAAATTCATTCCTTGATTTCATCACTCCTTAAGTTGTGTAAATATTTTGAATTCGGGAACAGATTATTAAGAAAAAAAAGCTCGGAGAAAACACATCACAAGTTAATTATCCCAATTGACTTGTAGCCGTCAAAAATTTTGTGGCCCCAGTCCCAGCTTTGCAAACAAATCACAGGTGAAATATCTTGTAAAAACTGAGCACTTGGCAACAATACTAGCAGTGAAATGCCTTTTGAAACAAACTTTTTGGCACTTGTTTTGGCAAAATTGTGTCTAGAGCACAGATTTTGGACGTTTTGTATCGATCCACAATTTGATTTTTGGGTGCACCCTTTTCCTCCAATTTAAACAAATGTGAGCTAAAATTGGCATAATAGAATCTCAAATACTAATAAACTTTTGTTTTGGGAATCAAAGCGTGGAAATGCGGAGTGGGCTGCGTCTCAGAACCCCAAAAACTTATCTTTATCCCCCCTCATTTTTAAATTTATACCCTTTATGCTAAGTTCATTACAGCATCAAACATTTCACGACTGTTATCGTTTGAGCATTAGGCAACAATATTTTTCAGACAATAGAAAAACATTTTGTCAAAAACTACCGGTTGAAAAAAATGAAAGAACCACTTCAAGCGCAAAGATTATGTCGTTTTTTTTGAAATTCAGATAATAAACCAAAATCATTTTTTCGCCACACAGAAAAAGCTCTTTCCTACGTTTTGAAAAACGATGGAGTCGTGCCATATTATGATATACCAATCGACCTTCGGTTAAATTCCTTCATAGGAGCAGTTTCTATAACTTTGTGAAAGGGAACTCGAAAATCTTCATACCCTGTTAAGGTCAGCCAAATTGATAAAACGAGCTCTACCTTGCATTTAAATATAAACAGTATTCACTAAGAAAGGAACTCATGATAGCTACAGACCATCAAGCTGTATTATCGGATAGAGCTAATAAAACTTATCAGTTTAGAGTAACAAGGTGGGCTGACATATTATTACCAGTCTTGCTCGCCAGTCTTGCTAATAACGAAAAACGAATAAACTCAAAATAACATATAACCGAAATCGTTTGCCGAGCTCATGCAGGAACCAAATTCGGAGCAATTGAGCAGTGGGACATCACAACAAGTGACATTAGTGGCCGAAAGAGACAGTGAGGAAATGGTCAGTAACAACAAGAGTCCAAGGAAACGGAGTATCAAAAATCGAACACGGGAATTTCTAGAATTTTCGTTCCAGCTAGATGACTATCAAATCGCCTATCAGTACTACCAGCTTCCGCAGAACACGTCTCGAAAAGAGTAAGATATCAACTGTCACAACAACTAGAGACGGAGGCGATGGACAATCTTGCCAAATTGTTCAGTAAAAGTCTGCTCGCAGAACTATTTTCAGAGGACACTTGGCTTGACAGGATGAGACGAGCAATCGAGACGAAGGTCAAGCTCGGATGGGAACTAACGGGGCCCTACACAGACCCCTTGTGGAGCTCAACGAGCGTAGTCGACGACTGCATACTGGTCGACAACAGACTTGCGATGCCGGATAAACTCGGAAAAGCAGTACTGAAGCAACTCCACTGGCCACCCGGGTCAAGAAGCGATGTTAGACGTGTCCATGGACTTATGGGCGCCATATATGCATGGAGACAGCATGAATATGGCTGAAAAATTGTAAGAATTGTACGAGATATAGTAAAAACCTAATTCCAAAAACGCCTCAAAACTATTAGCACTCTTAGCACAACCCGGACAGGAGTGACAACTAGACTAAAGCAGGGCCAAATAAAATAAGCAAAGGTAAGAAAAAATACCTTTTAATAGCGACAGATCGTTTCTCAAAATTTCCATTAACGAAAATAACAAAATCCACCGATAACGTTCCTCGAAAATAACGTTCCTCGAAAGTTTGTAGATACGCACGGAATACCTGATGCGATTAGAACAGACCAATTCTCAAGGTTCAAGTGCAAACGTGTGAAAAATTTTTGTGCAAATCACAACATCAAACATATCTTTTATCAAATAGATGACCATCGAGGCTGCGGTCTAGTTGAACGCCTGATACAAACGATAAAAATAAAGATAACGGGTTATGCTACTGGAGGAAAATGTTTCTGCAATGAAGTTATGCTTAAGCACACTAGTTTGAGATCTGGTCAAAACCGAAAATGGTTAAGGTTTGAAGCTCCCTTTGTTAGACTTCCGCTAACAGAATTCACAATTCAAAAGAAAAAAATCATTACAAATTCTGCCACTTTAGACAAACAACATCTGGAGTGGTCAGCACTCACAGCGTCCCAACTGAAACGACGACTTGATAATAGCAGGGACCACAAGAAAATTGTGCAACAGAGACAACTTAGACGTAAGGTCAGTCCAATTTTCAAACAGCAGACCGCAAATCAGAAAGAGAGAGAACGACAGCGAGTACTGAAAAACTTCATGGAGGCAAAGGCGGCCTGTAACGAGATGCAGGATGCAACGAAATGCAGTTGGACTATAATGAGAAGTTTAGTTTCGTAGGTGAAAAAACGGATCACAATCTAAAAAGAACAAATTAGACAAAAAAAAAACGGTCAGGAAAACGGTGCTTTCTAATCGAAAAAGGAAAATACCTAAAAAGGCAGTCCGGAAAAAGGCTTACAATTTCGAAAGCAATTCCGATAGATCAGGAAACAGAGTCAACAGTCACTAACAAAAAAGGGCTCTATAGAGAAAGTAAGACATCGCAATTGCAAAAAGAGAGCTGGGGAAGAGAAGAAGAAAAGAACAGCGGCCTGAAACCAAAGCAGCGGTGGAGAAAACGTTATCGGATTCAAAGTCAAGTGATTACATCACAGAAGACTGACCTCCAAAAGATTCTTAGGCACGAGATTTCCTACAAAGTAAAAAAACAGTGAAATCAAAAGATACAGAGGCTAACAGCGGAACAAACTTGGGGACTGAGAGATTGAGACCGAACAAAGGACGCCCACATCCAAAAACTCAAGATGAAGTCATATTAACGCCGTCGGAGAAGAAACAAAAGCTGTCAGCACATTCAGATAAAAAGTTGAAGGCGCTCGCTAACGCAAAGAAAGACCACGAAGATGCCGGACTAATGGCATCAACGCCAATCGGAAGGAACAGAAAAAGAAACGATTAGAAAAGGAATGTCGCAGAAAAAAGTCTCAATGCTTTCGAAAAAGACGAAACAAGTCACGAGGAACGAGTACAAATGGCTTAACAGATACACAAAAGATGACTTGAAAAAAAAAACGGTCGAAAGACTCTTTCTGAAGGACAGCCTACAGCCGACCTCGTCAGTCGAACTGGCGCAAACCTCGCCAGAAGGTTCAGAACCGTCAAAAGAATCCATCAGGAAAGCACATTCAAGATAATGGCAACAACAGACGAGGTCAGAAGAAGCATGAGGGCCAACAAAAACAAAGAGCTGACCAAATATAGATATTTGGCGAAACACTTGGTGAAATTAGTAGACGAACAGCCACCGGAAATGTCAGAATTGTCTGAAGAATTGAAAATCGTGCTAGAACCGTGCAGGACAGAAGTAGCAACACGAAACCCTCCTAGGAGACCAACTGAGCGTCGTTTCTATCAGCTGGAAAATTATATTATCAGGTGGAAATATGAACGAACGGTGTTGGAACTTGACAAATCATTCGGGGCAGAATGGGTGATGGAACTTTAAAAAGGCCAGAAATATGAAAAAAGATGAAAACTGAAAAAACTCTAAACTGAAGTTTCGAATTGTAAAAATTTGAACAGGCAAACAGAGATTAAAATAAAAATTTGAGGTACAAAACACTTGACCCGGCAAAACTGCGATTAAAAACTGAGGTTATTAAGTTATTAAAAAATTATTTATGGAGTAAAAAATTTTTCCCTGAAAAAGCGGGAATGTGGTATTGCTATGGTACTAATGTACTAGTCAACCGTCTGTGAAATATTGTTACATAATTTGATTTAATTCGTTCCTTGAAGGTCAATCATGATGCTTGATCTAACAGATCACTTTCACATTCAGTGTGTTAATTTATAGATTATGGTCCAGGACTGTATTAAGACATGCTCATACAAAAACATTCTTTTGTACTCGTTGAATTCATTATTACGGATGCTCTGTTTGCTTATGTACCAAGAGGTGATAATTGTGTAAATTCAATGGTTGACTCAAAAATTTAGTTTTGTCGGTGGTTGTGCGAAAACATTAAAAAAAAAGCCCGGCTTTTCACATAGTAACCCCTGCTCCACAGCAAGTTACAGCCCCTGGTCGCCAGCAAATCATAGCCCCCCTCTAATACAAACTATTACTGTGGTTGGGCTTTTATTTTCTGTTTCTTAGTGGATTGGGATGGGGGCTGAAATGGGAGTTATTTTCCTTTAGAGCATCCTATTATTGCCTCTTTTGAGTAACAAAAGAATCGATCCCTATCACTGTGCGGTACCGTTTGCCAGGGACTATAATTGGAAAGAGCCTAATAATCGGAGTAGTAAAATAATTACGATGAATAGTTGTACTGATTGTGTGGCTTTTAATTTTTGCTCCTTCTAGATTTATATACCAGATGTCTGTGCTGGTGACGTCGTATCTGGCGTACGAAGTTGACACCCAGATCACCCTTGTGAAGAGTACCGAGTCCACTTTCCCTAGTGTCACCGTCTGCAACTCCAACCCACTCCGAAAGAGTCTCATCTCAAAACTCACCAAGTATGTTTCGACACCCTTCTCAGACACAAACATTCTCAAACATAAACCTCAATTTTGCTCTGCTACCACTTATTGTTTAACAAACTCGCTGGTCAAATTTTCAAATGAAATATACTATTGGAATTGTAGAAAATAGTCCACACGTCAAATTTCATTCGAATCATGCAAGAATAACGATCTTAGCTCAGATCAATAGAATTAGTTTTGACTGTGGTCAATTTTCCAACCAGCACTTTCTTAAGGACACTTCATCAAACAAATAAAGCCATTGCGCAATCTAAGTGGAAGTTTAGTATTTTTACTAGTCGATCCTTAGACTGGTGACTCTAGGTTTGCGGGCTCGAATCTTGAGAGTAAATCTTGGGTCTTTTTTTAAAAAAAAAAGAAGCTTTTTTTCAAAACACGTCTGAAAAAAAAATAGGTATTGCTTTGTTTGTTAATTAAATATACCGTATTTACGAATTAGAATTTGTGATAATAAGTTAGGTAGTCTTAATTAATTATACACTTTATTCAGGTACGAAGTGTTGGCGGAGCTTGATAGTTCAGTGGCTGGTTCCATGTTCAGCTCCCTCGGTCAAGACTTCGAAATCTCATACAGTGGCATAGTGTGCGAAGACTATCAAGAATTATGCGAGAATTCAATGGTTTGTCTGAGTTTTCTGTTTTTCCCGAGATCATCGATTTTTGTTGTTTCCAGTATCATAGGCCCAAGACATCCAAGTTTGTTTTTTATTAAAAGTTTCAATATAAAAAATACTAGGCTTTCATGATTTTTTTAACGTGCTGATTGAATGAGCAAAACCGATTTTTCAAAAAACCAAACGGGAATGAATGGCTTTGTTTGTCGCACGGTTGCTGCAAACAAAGTATGCTAGTTCAGTAACTGCTAATAAAAGTTAACGAACGAAACTATCGTTCCCACTTTGATTGATTGTGCTTGGTGCAGGGGCGGATTTAGGGGAGGGGCGGGGGGGGGGGGGCGGACGCCCCTTTCCCTCAGGGATTCGACCCCCTGCCGACCCCCTTTGGTACTTTTTAAGAAATCCATTTTTGGCCAACCGACCCAAAAATTTTTCAAAAGGCGCCTTCGGCGCCAATATATTCTATTTTTGACGGGGGAGCGCGCGCCGAAAAAACGCAATTTTTTGGTCAAAATTTTCCAAAAAGTGCCTAAAAACGCCTTTTTTGGACTGTTTTTTCAAATTTTTGCCTGCGGCGCAGAAAATGTTGCCAAAAAAGGGACTAAACCATGCTTAGCGAGAGCTCAAAATTCAATTCGGTCTACCTAAAAAAAAGTAGTTCCGAATTAGAACCCTCGAGAGAAAATCCTAGATCCGCCCCTGGCTTGGTGTGCTTTATTTTTACCAGACACTTTTCGACTATTCAACTGGCAGTTTTTGCTTGGAATTTTTCACATAATAGAATAAACATTGTTGTCTCGAGCTCGAACTTAATAAGATACTTCATCTGCGTTTATTATTCCAAAAAATGCAGGGTTTAAATATTGTCCAAATATTGTTCAAAAGAAAAAAATCATTACAAATTCTGCCACTTTAGACAAACAACATCTGGAGTGGTCAGCACTCACAGCGTCCCAACTGAAACGACGACTTGATAATAGCAGGGACCACAAGAAAATTGTGCAACAGAGACAACTTAGACGTAAGGTCAGTCCAATTTTCAAACAGCAGACCGCAAATCAGAAAGAGAGAGAACGACAGCGAGTACTGAAAAACTTCATGGAGGCAAAGGCGGCCTGTAACGAGATGCAGGATGCAACGAAATGCAGTTGGACTATAATGAGAAGTTTAGTTTCGTAGGTGAAAAAACGGATCACAATCTAAAAAGAACAAATTAGACAAAAAAAAACGGTCAGGAAAACGGTGCTTTCTAATCGAAAAAGGAAAATACCTAAAAAGGCAGTCCGGAAAAAGGCTTACAATTTCGAAAGCAATTCCGATAGATCAGGAAACAGAGTCAACAGTCACTAACAAAAAAGGGCTCTATAGAGAAAGTAAGACATCGCAATTGCAAAAAGAGAGCTGGGGAAGAGAAGAAGAAAAGAACAGCGGCCTGAAACCAAAGCAGCGGTGGAGAAAACGTTATCGGATTCAAAGTCAAGTGATTACATCACAGAAGACTGACCTCCAAAAGATTCTTAGGCACGAGATTTCCTACAAAGTAAAAAAACAGTGAAATCAAAAGATACAGAGGCTAACAGCGGAACAAACTTGGGGACTGAGAGATTGAGACCGAACAAAGGACGCCCACATCCAAAAACTCAAGATGAAGTCATATTAACGCCGTCGGAGAAGAAACAAAAGCTGTCAGCACATTAAGATAAAAAGTTGAAGGCGCTCGCTAACGCAAAGAAAGACCACGAAGATGCCGGACTAATGGCATCAACGCCAATCGGAAGGAACAGAAAAAGAAACGATTAGAAAAGGAATGTCGCAGAAAAAAGTCTCAATGCTTTCGAAAAAGACGAAACAAGTCACGAGGAACGAGTACAAATGGCTTAACAGATACACAAAAGATGACTTGAAAAAAAAAACGGTCGAAAGACTCTTTCTGAAGAACAGCCTACAGCCGACCTCGTCAGTCGAACTGGCGCAAACCTCGCCAGAAGGTTCAGAACCGTCAAAAGAATCCATCAGGAAAGCACATTCAAGATAATGGCAACAACAGACGAGGTCAGAAGAAGCATGAGGGCCAACAAAAACAAAGAGCTGACCAAATATAGATATTTGGCGAAACACTTGGTGAAATTAGTAGACGAACAGCCACCGGAAATGTCAGAATTGTCTGAAGAATTGAAAATCGTGCTAGAACCGTGCAGGACAGAAGTAGCAACACGAAACCCTCCTAGGAGACCAACTGAGCGTCGTTTCTATCAGCTGGAAAATTATATTATCAGGTGGAAATATGAACGAACGGTGTTGGAACTTGACAAATCATTCGGGGCAGAATGGGTGATGGAACTTTAAAAAGGCCAGAAATATGAAAAAAGATGAAAACTGAAAAAACTCTAAACTGAAGTTTCGAATTGTAAAAATTTGAACAGGCAAACAGAGATTAAAATAAAAATTTGAGGTACAAAACACTTGACCCGGCAAAACTGCGATTAAAAACTGAGGTTATTAAGTTATTAAAAAATTATTTATGGAGTAAAAAATTTTTCCCTGAAAAAGCGGGAATGTGGTATTGCTATGGTACTAATGTACTAGTCAACCGTCTGTGAAATATTGTTACATAATTTGATTTAATTCGTTCCTTGAAGGTCAATCATGATGCTTGATCTAACAGATCACTTTCACATTCAGTGTGTTAATTTATAGATTATGGTCCAGGACTGTATTAAGACATGCTCATACAAAAACATTCTTTTGTACTCGTTGAATTCATTATTACGGATGCTCTGTTTGCTTATGTACCAAGAGGTGATAATTGTGTAAATTCAATGGTTGACTCAAAAATTTAGTTTTGTCGGTGGTTGTGCGAAAACATTAAAAAAAAAGCCCGGCTTTTCACATAGTAACCCCTGCTCCACAGCAAGTTACAGCCCCTGGTCGCCAGCAAATCATAGCCCCCCTCTAATACAAACTATTACTGTGGTTGGGCTTTTATTTTCTGTTTCTTAGTGGATTGGGATGGGGGCTGAAATGGGAGTTATTTTCCTTTAGAGCATCCTATTATTGCCTCTTTTGAGTAACAAAAGAATCGATCCCTATCACTGTGCGGTACCGTTTGCCAGGGACTATAATTGGAAAGAGCCTAATAATCGGAGTAGTAAAATAATTACGATGAATAGTTGTACTGATTGTGTGGCTTTTAATTTTTGCTCCTTCTAGATTTATATACCAGATGTCTGTGCTGGTGACGTCGTATCTGGCGTACGAAGTTGACACCCAGATCACCCTTGTGAAGAGTACCGAGTCCACTTTCCCTAGTGTCACCGTCTGCAACTCCAACCCACTCCGAAAGAGTCTCATCTCAAAACTCACCAAGTATGTTTCGACACCCTTCTCAGACACAAACATTCTCAAACATAAACCTCAATTTTGCTCTGCTACCACTTATTGTTTAACAAACTCGCTGGTCAAATTTTCAAATGAAATATACTATTGGAATTGTAGAAAATAGTCCACACGTCAAATTTCATTCGAATCATGCAAGAATAACGATCTTAGCTCAGATCAATAGAATTAGTTTTGACTGTGGTCAATTTTCCAACCAGCACTTTCTTAAGGACACTTCATCAAACAAATAAAGCCATTGCGCAATCTAAGTGGAAGTTTAGTATTTTTACTAGTCGATCCTTAGACTGGTGACTCTAGGTTTGCGGGCTCGAATCTTGAGAGTAAATCTTGGGTCTTTTTTAAAAAAAAAAAGAAGCTTTTTTTCAAAACACGTCTGAAAAAAAAATAGGTATTGCTTTGTTTGTTAATTAAATATACCGTATTTACGAATTAGAATTTGTGATAATAAGTTAGGTAGTCTTAATTAATTATACACTTTATTCAGGTACGAAGTGTTGGCGGAGCTTGATAGTTCAGTGGCTGGTTCCATGTTCAGCTCCCTCGGTCAAGACTTCGAAATCTCATACAGTGGCATAGTGTGCGAAGACTATCAAGAATTATGCGAGAATTCAATGGTTTGTCTGAGTTTTCTGTTTTTCCCGAGATCATCGATTTTTGTTGTTTCCAGTATCATAGGCCCAAGACATCCAAGTTTGTTTTTTATTAAAAGTTTCAATATAAAAAATACTAGGCTTTCATGATTTTTTTAACGTGCTGATTGAATGAGCAAAACCGATTTTTCAAAAAACCAAACGGGAATGAATGGCTTTGTTTGTCGCACGGTTGCTGCAAACAAAGTATGCTAGTTCAGTAACTGCTAATAAAAGTTAACGAACGAAACTATCGTTCCCACTTTGATTGATTGTGCTTGGTGCAGGGGCGGATTTAGGGGAGGGGCGGGGGGGGGGGGGGGCGGACGCCCCTTTCCCTCAGGGATTCGACCCCCTGCCGACCCCCTTTGGTACTTTTTAAGAAATCCATTTTTGGCCAACCGACCCAAAAATTTTTCAAAAGGCGCCTTCGGCGCCAATATATTCTATTTTTGACGGGGGAGCGCGCGCCGAAAAAACGCAATTTTTTGGTCAAAATTTTCCAAAAAGTGCCTAAAAACGCCTTTTTTGGACTGTTTTTTCAAATTTTTGCCTGCGGCGCAGAAAATGTTGCCAAAAAAGGGACTAAACCATGCTTAGCGAGAGCTCAAAATTCAATTCGGTCGACCTAAAAAAAAGTAGTTCCGAATTAGAACCCTCGAGAGAAAATCCTAGATCCGCCCCTGGCTTGGTGTGCTTTATTTTTACCAGACACTTTTCGACTATTCAACTGGCAGTTTTTGCTTGGAATTTTTCACATAATAGAATAAACATTGTTGTCTCGAGCTCGAACTTAATAAGATACTTCATCTGCGTTTATTATTCCAAAAAATGCAGGGTTTAAATATTGTCCATTTGGTAATTTGAAATAATTAAAACGCGATATCTTTCGTGCTATCAATTTTTAAGCAGAGATTTAATGCATATTAGAAATCATAACAAGTTTTATGAGACATACAGCTTGACCTATTAAAAACTCTGCAAAACGTATCAAAAAGTAATTTTATTAATTCTTGTCTTATTTGTGTTAATGAACAAAAACATTATTGATTTATCTAGGTCCAATGATTTGTTTGTTTTGCTCGAGAAATTGTTTGAAAAGTTGTTCACGCCCAGATTTAATTTTTTGCTGTTTCTTATCTAAGTTTGATTCAAACTCTTTTCGTAAAAGCAGGGTAAGTAACAAAATTTATTATCAAATTAAGGAAGAGGAAATTGCGCAAAAGGGCGCGGTTGATGTCTACTAATAAGAAACATTTCAGCTATTTAAAGAAAATGACGGAAAAATTGTGGTCGAGATGATTTTGTGATTTCTCCAAGACAAATGTCATGTCGACTTTTTAACCACCAGTTTTTGACGGAACTAGTTTATATCATTCAAAAAGTTTTGTTGACCGAATAAAAATTGTTTTTTTTCAGTTGTGATCATTTTTGGTGTACTGTTATAGGGGTTTAAGGATTACTGTTTATAGAGGGTTGATCCGCCCTAAAAATTGTTCGAAATTGAATTGAGGCATGCTTGTTGTTCTATTTTTTGTTTTGCTGTCTGCGAAATCTATAAGTTTGTACCTTAAATAGCTTGTGGGTGATGTTATTTTTTCGTTTTTTTTTGGAAATCTTAATCCATTTTTTTTAAACGAGCGGTTAATCCGTAGACCTAAAAAGGCAGCTGAAACAATCAAGGCTTTGCCCTGATAACAGCATTCTTGTTAGATTTGGCAGCGGAATAATCAATTTGAGTTTTTGATCTAGTTTTCTCAATTTGGTTTATTCTTCTTTAAAAAATGTCACTCATAAACTGTTCAAGTATACTTAATTGTATTTTCTGAGATAACAAGCATCAGAATGGGGACCGACCTTTTACCAGACCGATCTTTTACCAAAAAAATGTAAGATGGAGCTTTTACCAGATTTGATTAAAAATTTTGATTGATAGACGTAATGGCACCATTTTGGCGCCATCATCAAAACATTGCAGTTCATACCTTGATTTTAAAAAATATCCGAAAATTTTGAACAATTTTCTGAGTTGGCAAGTTTTTAGTTTCACAAAAAAATCAAGCATACAAACAGAGCAACTTCTTGTTGTACAAATGAAAGTGGAGGACCTGTTTTTTTCTCACTGATTAACTTCATGTATACGAATTTGACAGCAGCCAAGTTTTTGCACTTTTTCTTACATTAACTGCGTCTTATTAGCTAGTAAATAGCTCTGAAACTTTGATGCTGGCTTATTCATGTCATTTTGGTGAGCTTCAAAATGTTTGATTTGGCGATTTGCTTTATCTGTTGTCTTTGGCTTGTTTGTTTTTACATCATATTCACAAAACAATTTATTAGCTATTTGATGGTATTTTTTCTAATTTGAGTCTTCTGAAGGTATTTTGTTCGAAGGTATTTTGTCTAAGTCGAATTTTCTCAACTCTCTGGACAAATCGTAGATAAAATTCTGCTGGTACATGTCTAGATTACGTGCATGTTTTTCATCATCTCCCCAATTGGAGGTCCGCGACTTGTGTTCGCACATTAACTTCGGGTCCAGGTGCTCATTTTATGTTTCAACATTTACACTCGAGCACAATGTCGGTACTGGCCAAAAAGAACCCGTACATACTAAATGTTCTGATTCAGATCTGAAATAGTCTTTTTCAGATCTAAATTTCAGATTTGAAATGGGTTGTGAAATGTTAAAGCTTGGATACTTTAGGAGTGGGTTATTTCAAATCTAACTTCAAATCTGAAATTTTTTTCTTGGTTATTTCAGGTCTGAAAAAATGTATTTCAGATCTATTTTCAGATCTGAAATTTAGGGGGCCGATCGTTTAGCAGACCAATCTTTCAGCAGAAAAAGTGAAAAAAGAGTCTTTTAGCAGACCAACGCAATAAACTGATGCATGCTTGATTGGCAGACTTAAAAAACGCTCAGTCTGGGCCAAGCTTACCCAACTAAGACAATAGTTTCGCAATTTCTCAACAAAAAAATACAACAGTCTTAATGGGGACCGATTGTTTAGCAGACCAATCTTTTGGCATAAAAATTGAAAACTGAGTCTTTTAGCAGACCAACGTAAAAAAAAAGTGATGGATGATTGATTGACAGGCTCAAAATGACGCTCAGTCTGGGGCCAAGCTTCCCCAATTAAGTCAATTATCTCACGATTCGTCAACAAAACTATCAACTTCAAAAACACTCGCGCTGAACTTAAGCGCAGCGGAGCCAGCGGTCGCTAATCACCAATGCCGTGTTTGAAGTTAGCTATCACAGTTTATAATTGTTCTGAGTCTGCTAAAATCTCTAGCACCAGTCTTAATTAGCGACAAAACAAAGATTTACGCGCACAAAATCGCTCGTGTTGAGTTGAAGCGGTCGCTAATTGCCAATGCCGCGTTTGTAGTTAACTTTCTGACTTGCTAATTGTTCTGGGTGTGCTAAAAGATTGGTCTGCTAAAAAACCGGTCGGCTAAAATCCCTCGTACCAAAATTAAGTTTTTCTTGGTTATTTCAGTGCTGAAAAAGTAATAATTTTGACTCAATGTTTGCTATTTTTGGAACTTTTGTATTTGATAGTTTCTGCTAGCTACTAGCAGGTACTCAGCAAAGTCTCAAATGTTTCCTTTAAGCAAAAGATATGAAATAAAGAATTTCAGATCTGAGAATCAACTAATGTAAGATATGAAGACTTTCAGATCTTGCACAGAAAATCCCCTGGGTACGGGTAGTCGAGATGGGGTTTTGAGTGGAGCATAAGCTCAAAAACTGCCTCGAGCAAGGTCGAAACATCCCAGGTTGACCTGCGTACACCGAAAATCAAGCCTATGGAAAAATGCTTGTCGAAAATTTTCGTACAATTTCGGAAAATGTTTGAAAAAAGGTATAAACTAAATTCTGAGGCTATTTGATTCGAATAAAACAGTCTGGTGATGAAAAAATTGAGGTTGATGAAAAAAATGCTATATAATAAAATTTGGTCGACCACAGTCGATACATACCTCTAGCTCGGTCGAAACATACCGTGAGAACGATCGAAATATACCGATCGTCCAGCGGTTAGACGAAGCCAAATACGTAAAATACTAAATTTATATCAACCAATTTTTTAACGTGTTCGAATCAAATTGAAAACCGGAGAATCGATTAAAAAAATTCGCACAAAAATAATTTACCTCATGATCATCTCGAGACCAAAATTTTTTTTTCTTTTTTTTCTAGCGCCGAGCTTACAGTCACGCCAAGAACTTAGAGCATAGATAATTCGGCATAATTCAAAAGAAACTTCCGCATATTCCCGAAGGTCGCGTTTTAAAGTTTTAGAAGTTTTAAATTTTTTATAGTCACGCAAAAAAAGATAAAATTTTTGAAACAGGTTTTTTAAGCTGTTTTTGGAAAAGTACAATAAAAACTCTGCTCAGAAAGAAACCTGTAAATTGGTGACAAACACAATTAGGGTTTTTGGTTTGAATTGTGGTCAATAATTCATTCATTCTCCAAAAAGCTGTCAAGAATTCATGCTTCGAAAACCTAGCTGAATGAATGAATGAATGTTTCAGAAAATGTTTGGTCGTTGTCAGTTCTATTAACAAAACAAAGTCATTTGCTCTAGACACCTACGAAGCGGATGTCCCTAGAAGCGCAAGTTTGCAGGCTGTTGACGCTGTTCAAGGCATGTTTATTGCGTCTTTAAAGTTGACTTAAACTATTGAACGTTTTTGCATCTTTGATGTTGATCTAAATTATTGGACAGTTTTGCGTTTTTGATGTTGATGTAAAATTGGGGCTAGATCGGTGCGCACCCACAGAGTCGCATTACTAGATGGTCAAAACATTTAAGGTTTCTTGTTAAATTAAAAAGCAACGAAACAAAATTTGACAAAAAAGACAATCGTCTCAAAATTTGGACCACTCTTATTTGAGTGATTGAGTTGTCTTTTTTTCGGAGCTTAGCAAACAAAAAATCGAATACACTCAAAACATTTTCTATGCGCAACCGCCTTGATTTTCTGGAAGTAGATAGCAATAAGAGTGCTTTGATACACAATATTTTTTATTCGGCTATAAGGAATTATACTCAATTTTTCGGCTATCCAGTCTTTAAACGAATTTTTTCTGCCATTCAGGAATAATTTTTTTTTTGGTTTTACAGTGGTTATTCAGACAAGGGCAATTTTGAATAAATGTCTTGTGGTGGACGCTGAGAGCAGGCGCCAAAAAAGTGTTCAAAACTTCGATTTTCAGCAAATAGTTGTTTTATAAAAAATTAATTAATTAATTTAATTATTATCAATTACGATTTTTAGAATTGGCGTTTCTACTGTATTACATGCTATAATAACCTGAGCTTCAGATTGATTAGTCTTTAAGTTAAATAGCACCGCATACAAAGGGCCGAGTTCAAAATGGTTCATTCTTCTAAGATATTGTAAAAGATATTCTAAGATGGAAGGCAAGTGATAACGGTCCCCGGAAGTGTAAATGGACCTATAAGAACTCCAAAACTAGCGGCAGTATTGGACTCAAATTTTAGTTTGTTGTAGGCCTAGTTGAGAAAAGCTTACATTTAGAACTCCAGACCCCCAGAACACCCAATTCCGGTGTTATGCCCTAAAAACAGACCCACCCCTAACTTCCGGAAATCGTTTCTCAGCAGCCCCATACGGACCCACCCCTAACTTCCGGAAATCGTTTCTCAGCAGCCCTATACGAACTTGAAGCTTGGAGAGATTATAAGTAGTGACAATATACATCTTGTGTTAAATATTGAATCATATCCAACTTGCGGATAGGAAGCTATTAGCACTGGAAAAAACACCCCCATAGTACGGAAAGAGGCAATTTACGCAAAATCAAGAGCGAGCGCATAAAAATTTTATGGCGGCAAAGGATACTAGTCCTCGCTCTTCACCACCGGAAAAAGAACCCTTGTGAGTGAAAAACCATCCGGCGGCTCCTTCCGGTGTTAATAGCCTTTTTCTGGGAATAAGTGTTAATGGACCTTAGAAATGAGATAACTTGGAAAGTTTTAATGGGATATGTAAGAAACTTGGTAGTTAGGACCCCCATGAGACCCTGAACCTATCCAAAGATGTTTGAGCCCGGGCGACGCGTGGGTGACCTTGAGTTGACCTTTGTGCGTTTTGACCCCAAAATTGGATACTAAACTCCGGGATTAACACCGGAAATTGACGCTTTCCCCAGCCCAACCCTTTGGAGATGAGAATTGGTCGCCATACTAATAACTAGGAAAAAACTTGCATATTGGGACCTGAAGCAGAAGCTGACAGAGATACAGTTTTACCTTGCAACCTTGTAGCAGTAGAACTAGTTCAAAGTGGACTAGGTAAATATTGGTTTCAGCTTAGCTTGGCGAATGATTTAATACTAGCAATGCAACTTGACTGAAGAAAAATCGTCAAAGAGAAAATTGGCAGTAGTAGGACGACGGCATAAAAATTAAGTCTTCTAAATAATATGAACGAACAGAGAGTTTTCTTGGCTCCCAGGAGGTGATTTTTTGGCTTAATTTGACCCCTAATAGGTTGACTAAGCTCCCCTAATAGCTAGAAAGTCGGGATTGGAATAGAGTGTAGATAAAAAGTTAGATGCTTGGATTGAATTTGGGAGGGTCGCTGAGTATACGTAGCAGGATTTGGAGATTGAGTTGAACTCAAGCGCTGGAGTTCACGGACGTCAGGCATTAGTTGATCAGATTTGTACGATATTTGTTTGCTTGGTCGAATTGTGACAACTACTGCATTTTGGGTATCTAATAAGCGTGAAAAGATTGATAACAGACACCGAACTTGGACAAAGCAGTGTTGACGGGGGGATGTACCCAGTCATGAAACATGTGCGAACGAAAGAATTCAGCGGATGCCAGGACTGATAGGGAATGGCGTGAGCTAATCAAAACTAATAGTAAAAACAGAAAAGGAACTGGAGGGTACCGGAGAGACTTCGAGAGTAAGAACCCATATGCTAAACGAGCGGACGGTTGGTTCTCAGAGAACGATTGAGCAATTCGAGAAGAATAGTTGGTCCGTGGAAGACGTTTTTGCTTGAAGCGAGGCTAATTGTGTGCCATAATCGTTAGTTGATTAATTAAGTTGATTTTAACCCAAGTTTAGTAACTGGTTGAATTAGTTGTGTGAGCGAGTTGCGCTGCTGGAACAGCTGAGATTAGAGTTGCGTCAAGCGAGGATTGACGATAGAGTTGAGAAGGCAGTGGCCGAACGGAACGTAACGCTGGCTTCATTATTGAAGTTGTTCAATAGTAGTTAGCTCATTAAGGGCATTGCTTTCATTTTCTTTGTGATCCAGACTTTACTTATTGTGCCCACAATTTGCTGAACTAGCTAGAACTGTAAGAGCAGAGCCGAAAAGAGCATAAACAAAGGAAGAAAATGCGTAATCCTTTAGTCGGCCGATTTAGTTTATGACCACCACTATAAGCCTTTCGGGATTGTGGATAATATCGTGCCTTAGTGTCCCCCTCTATCACACGGTGTAAAGCGGAGGAACTCTGCAGCCCTTAAATAGAGTTAAAGCGTGCTTAAACGAGACGACTACCCGAGAAAATCTGCACACTTTGTAGAAATTCGAAAAGAAGCGTGGTTAAAATAACCAAAATTTTGCTGAGGAACCGTGAAGTAATTTTCTTTTAAGAGACTAAACAGTGTCATATTATCTGTCAATCAAATGGTGGAATCCCTCACAGGCGAAGGACTCTATCGGCGAAAATAAAAAACTAGTCAATCAGATTTCAAGATTCCGTTTCCCAAACTTTTCCAGGGAATTAACATTAATATTGTCCAAATAAAACGGCAGAAATATGCAAAATTTTCCAAAAAGTCATCGATCGCCGGCTTATTAATTTTATTAAATTTATTAATTTTATTAAAAGGGTTTTGTTTTGAAAAAAGCAAAATATTGCTTCATTCAATTCCTTTAAGTTGAACGGCAGTTGATTCGTTTTAATGATTGCCCTTTGTTTTCGGTCCTCCGCCCATGAGAATAGCCCTCAAACCAATTTGTGTATCTAGCCTGGTAGAGCTACCGCGTTTTGACTTTTTGGGTAAACAGTCTGGTGAAAGGTCGTCCAATATGTAAATTCTATAAATTTTTTTGCGACTTGAATCTTGCGACTTTTATACGAGCAGTATTATTGAGTTTCAAATTAGCTCCAATTGCTTCAAAATGTACGAATATTCAAATTTACTTTCCATATATCGCCTCTAAATGCAGTTTTTAATGCAAACATTATCAAGAAGACTATATTATTTCAAAAATATGTTCATTTTGTTTTATATTGTCGGAAAATTTGAAGTTGTTTTTGGACAAAAACTAAGATATATTTCACAGAATTAATCAGCTAGGGATTGATGACTATGATTTGATTTGTTCTAAGCCTGATGCTATAAATTCTGATACAGTTTTGATCCCTTTTCACTGTAAATGAAATTGTTTATCACTTTTAGTGTATTCGTTTTTGAAGCAGTTCTGATCAGTTTTCAAAGTTTGTAGTTTGTAAAAAAAATGTTTTCAATAGTTATAGTTTTTAATTTTATTGAATTGAGCTTTTAGTTTTGATGCAACTCTGATCGCTTCTCATTTGTTAAAGTTTCGAGCTATCAATTACAATGCAGTTTTGAAAAATTTTTAAAATGAATTTAAATGGGCTGATTTCTCAAGTGGTTTTGATGAGTCTATAAATGTGCAACGAGCTATCAGTTCTGATGCTGTGAAATTAATTGAGAGTCGGTCTACGAAATATGGTATTTTTCTCTAATCTTGAACCCTCTGTTATGTTGCAGCTAATTCGATGCTGTTATTGGCCTCGTTGGCTTTTTTCATTTAACCTTTTATCCGAGCGTTGATGCAGTTTTTTTGAGAAAAAATCCATATTTTTTAATTGTTGCTGCTCTTTTCTGTAATTTTTCTTTTGGTGTAATCAAAACAAACGCATAAGTAGCCCAGCATAAAATCAAGTTAAAATCGATTGTGATTCGAATTCTGAACAAACTTTTGAAAATTACGAGCCAAGAAAAATTGGACTGAATGTTTTTGTTTTAAAAACTCATCCTTGACCGCTAAGATAACTGGTTGAAAAATGTGGGCTCCTGAACTGATTTTGCTGCTATTATTTTGTTAAAAAATCCAACCTTGGTTATTCCAGTCTAAAAGCTATAATGAATGCAGTTAGCTTTCCTTGATCAAACAAGCCGCAAAATTTGAAGTAGTTTGAAAAAAATTGTTCTGCTCTCATTATTATGTTCGGAAATTCTTCTGCTACTGGTCATTAAGCTATCATATTTGCTATGGTTGTATTTCAGCAATGCATTCCGTCGAGGTGGATTTGCAACGGGAGAGTGGACTGCGACAATGGGTGGGACGAGGGCGAAGATGTCGACGGATGTAAGCGACAACATCTCCTTCTTTCGCTTTACCCGATTTCAATTCTTTCTTGCTATAAAATTACAATTTTTCTCTATTTCCTTCAGAAACCGGAAACTGGAGTGAACACCTTTTTTACATGGCTCGGATCCACACCCAACCTCTGGGGCTAAAAATAACTGTTGTTTCAGCCCAATTTCAAGTACTGATCACGGTTTGTCTAAGGAATCGATCGACGCGTTTTTGATTAGTTAGCAAAGCCACTTATTTTCCACCCTGCGTAACTCTTGCGGAACATCTTGATCGTTTTGAAACAAACTAACACTTTTTGAACGTTAATGATCGAAGTGAAGCCACTTCTTTAAGTCGTTGCAGAAAAACGCTAACTGAAGCTTCAAAAATAGTTTTTCACATGAAAGAAGTAGTTTTTTTCATAGCCTAATTAAAAGGTTTTCACTCTGATCTTTACTTTGACTCGCTCTAAATTTGTCAAACCTGGTTTTCTCTAAAAAGAATAAATTTTCCATAATTTTTTATGCTTGCGATTAGTAGGCGTTATCAAATCGAAATACAGACTTTCAATTTAACAACTTATTTAACAGAATCACATGAATCACTTGGTTTCATAATGAATTCAAATTTCTCAGCGTCTCCGGCATATTTAGTCTGGAGACAAGGAATATGCATGGGACAACAAAATAAGCAAGGGTTCGAAACTGACCAGGAACTCTTTTTTTTAACGGGAAATATTCCGTCTGAAACAAATTGTCGGCTTATTGTTTGTCTGCTTATGTTATGTCGGCTTAGTTGCCACTCTTTGAATATTTTGCTGTACGCAGTTTTTATTGAAGTTGCTTCTTTTTGCCCTTTCGTTAAATTTTCATTAAAATCCGTGAATGTGTTGCTGGACGTGTTTTCCGCAAAAATAACATAATCCAGGCAACGTTTTGAAATTTTTAGATGTGGTTTCTTCAAAAATTAATTGTCAAATCATGATAGAAATGGTTTTTTGTATAAAATATCTTTGGAAACTGTCTAAAAACATTTGTGATAAGTTATAATGCCTAGAAGAAAAATAATCTCAAAATTAAACCGCAACCAAAGTAATACTTTCCCACTTAGCGTCCAAATAATGACATCTCCACTAAAATGCTCGACCTGCTAAGTATTCAGGGGCGGATTTAGGGGGGGGGGGGCGGACGCCCCCCCCCCCTCAGGGATTCGACCCTCTGCCGACCCAAAGGGTCCCCCCTTTGATACTTTTTCAGAAATCCTTTTTTGGCCGACCGACCCTAAAATTTTTCTAAAGGCGCCTTGGGCGCCAATATATACTAACTTTGAGGGGGAGCGCGCGCCAAAAAAAAACGCGATTTTTTGTCAAAATTTTTCAAAAAGTGCCCAAAAACGGCTTTTTTTACTGTTTTTTCAAAAATTTGCCTGTGGCGCGGAAAATTTTGCAAAAATAGGGGCAAAACAGTGCTTGGGAGAGCTCGAAAAATCAATTTGGTCGACCTAAAAAAAAAAAAGGTCGACAAAATTTTGGAAAATTTTTTGAAAATCCGCCCCCCCCCTCGAGAAAATCCTAGATTCGCCCCTGTAAGTATTCAAACATATCTTTAAAGAGCAAGAGAAATGGTGAGTGAATATGAAAGAGTTTACATAGATGCTTCCAATTGGATTTTTGCAGAAATACCACGAAAAATCTGTATATTTCCATTTAAATTTTGCACATTAATGGGGTGTAAATCAAAAAGTTGATAACAAAAATTTTGATCGGATTATTCACGTTAAGAAAACTTTTTGTTCCAAAACAAATAAAAATATAATTACAAGGACAGCCGGTTACTCTGCATTTTACACAGACCATAGTCTTAAAAAATACAACAACATTTTTTTTTCAAATGAGTCTTTTTTTCGGGGAGCTGTGATAGAAGAAGCTCAACGAAAAGCTAGACATTAGACATATTTGTTAAAAAAAGTAAAAAAAATAAGCAAATTTAAAAACGATTGTTATGGAAAAAATGACTAGAGAAACAGAAAATTTTTTAAGCATTTTAAAAAAATTTAGTTTTTTCTGCCGTTTTTTGAATTTTTGTAATTTTTTGTTCCAAAATTGCGCTAAAATAATTAAAAAAATGATGTTACTCGATTAAAATTAAATTCTTACGTTTCAAACTAAGCTTTTGTAAGTTTTTAAGCCATTAAAATAAGCCAGTTTAAGACGAAAAACAAAAAAAATCAAGCCGGTTCTTAAAAATGTTTTAACGTCATTCAAAACACGACTTTTGATGCTTCAATTTGATATATCACTCCGCTCTCCATGATGATTGTTTTTGGTAAGTTTTTCCCAACTTCTCAAATGGTCGGAACAAAAAATGATTATTTGGTTCATTAATTGCTGAATTTCTTCTGTTAAAATCAACCAAGAACTATTTCCACTGAAAAACTAGGATAGACAGAGAAATATTTTTGACGGTGGAGTGGGGGTAAGGAGAGGTTTTTGCGTGTTGGTTGCCAAACTGGATATACTAAAAAACTAATAAATGGAGGAACCTCTGTGTGGCGAGGGTATCGAATTTTGGAGTGTATTGTTTCTAAACTCGCCGTTTTTTCAAGAAGTAGTCAGAACATTCAGGAAAACGCCTGATACGAGCAACTTATTGTTTTTCAATCCTTGAAAAAATGTGACATTGCAAGTACTAATCTAAGTATTATTCCTGGCTGTTTTGACTTTTTGTATAGCCTTATAGCCTTGGTCAACATTTGTACTTTCGAATATTGATGTGTCAACACTTTTTTTCTAAATTTATAAGTAACTCCAACCAATAACAAGGATAACCGGTTACTGTGAAAGTAGCACAGAATGCTCTGACCGTAGTCTTAAAATATTACAATTTTTTTTTCAAATAATTTTCGTATTTTCTGTGTGGTGTGACAAAAAAGTCTGACCAAAAAAAAAAATTTTGTCAGTCACAGTAAAACAAACCAAATAGAAAACTGTTTTTATAGAAAAAAGATTTAAAAATTTAAAAAACCTATAAAAAGTTTTTATAAAACATTTTTTAACTTTTTACTCCCAAACATGAAGCTGAAAACACTCCGAAAATTGTAAGCCTGCACGCTCAATTTGTTAGTGGGGCGACAATTCGTAACAGGTGAAAATTCGTAACAAGCGACAATTCGTAACAGGCCACAATTCGTAACAAGGCGTTGGCAAGTTGAAAACGCTTGCTCCGATTCGCTCCGCTGGGTTTACATAGGGCACAAAAAGAACACAGCGCGTGAATCAGTGTTATGAATTGTCGCCTGTTACGAATTGTCGTCTGCTATGAATTGTCGCTTGTTACAAAATTTCGATTCATGCAAAGTATCAGCTCAAAATTAGACCAAAAAACGCATTTTTTTTGGCCAAAATTTTTGGCCCTTGTTTTCAACACTGCGCCTGCGGCGCAAAAAAAATGGTCAAAATGGGGTCTTCATAATGATTTTGTGAAGCTCAGAAAATCAATTTAGTCAATCGAAAAAAAAAGGGTCGATAAAATTTTCGAGTTTTTTTTTAAATCCGCCCCCCCCTCGAGAAAATCATAGATCTGCCCCTATGATATATCACTCGACGCATTCCGATGATTATTTGCGGTACCTAATTTTGCGTGGAAAACAAAAAGAAAAAAGAAGAAAAAACTAAAACACACCCGAATACCAAGTTCCTCCCCACTTTCAATGATCGGAACAACAGCGGCGCTTAAAAAAAACTAACTAAAAATTTAGCTGCTCTCAACTGTTGTCTTTTTGTCTGCTGAACTTCGATGATATCCCAGCTGAACAAGTTGACCAATGTAATTTAGTGTATTTTTTTACAGCCCCCATTAACTGTACCACTCACGATGACGGAATATCGACTGAGTATGAACAATTCAATCCGGACGGATTCTGCAACAAAGGACTAGTCAGGTGCGCCAATGCCAATGTTTTAAAATAGGAAATAAGTATAAAAAACAAGCCATCTTTTTTCGATCTCAAGAACCTGATTACACGAATTGCAAAAATAGGACATTGCTCTCACAAGATCGGGGTATATATACTCAGTCTAATGTTGATCAGTGGCGGACTTGGGGGGGGGGGGGGTGCGGAAGTTCCCTCCCTCTCCTTAGTGATTCGACCCCCTGTCGACCAAAGGATCCCCCTTTGTACTATTTTCCAATCTCCAATTTTTGGCGATGGACCCTAAAAATTTTCGAAAGGCGCCTTTGGCGCCAATATATAATAATTTTGAGGGGGGAGCGCGCCCCGAAAAAACGCAATTTTTTGGTCCAAGTTTTCCAAAAAGTGCCTAAAACACTTTTTTGGCCTGTTTTTTTCCAAAACTTTGCCTGTGGCGCAGAAAATTTGGCAAAAGTAGGGACAAAACAGTGCTTTCGGAGAGCTCCCTCGAGAAAATTTTAGATCCGCCCCTAATGTTCATAATAGTTATTGCATAAGGGTTGTTTTGAGATCTGTTTTTCCTTCCACCTTGCGAGTCAAACCATGTTTCATCTTATTTGGTTGAGAAAGTTCACAAAAATGATTCGTAACTCTTAGTTTTGAAGAAAAAGAAATAGCTCTAGTTTAATACTCCCCACTACGATTCCCACTAAAGTTGATACCCACATCCAATTTCAAGCGCTAGCAATTGATTGAATCATAATTTTAACGCTAGTCTTACTATAATTGAGAAAAAAAATAGATTTGAATTATTTAATAATCGACTGTGAGCTCTCTTGTTGAAATCAAATTATTATCAATAATAAAATATTTTAATATATATAATATTAACAATCCATCTATTTTTCAATACAATTATATTCCTTTATAAATTATTAGAATTCATTTTTTATCCCAATTTCTATTACATAAGTCTTGCACAAAAAATCAATTGAAATTGTCAAAAAATCAACAAAATAATCCGTTATAATCGACTACTTGCGCCTTAACATGCATGCGGGTACGGTGTTTTATATACTAATTTCACACTTAAATACGAATTATGCTCCTTTTCCATAATGAGGGTGGGGTTACGGAAATTCGAAAAAAAATCAATTAGCATGTGACAAAGAGACTTTTGCTATGGGGATGGTTCGTCTCATCAGGTGCAACGACACTATACCCCTGTGTGCTGTGCCATGCAACAACATCACCGAGTGTCCCGACGGATTTGACGAGGCCGCTTCTCCATTGAACTGCACCCAGGTTTGTGTTCTTGAAAGAATACAAAAAATAAAATAAAAATTAGCTTTGAATGGAGATAAAAATCAAGATGAAAAAATTTCAAATTCACGGATGAATCTAGGATTTCATCAAGGAGTGGGGGTGGAGCACTCACAAAACCCTATAAATTCCCTACTTTTACCAAATTTTCAAAGTTTTTTTTGGAAAGTATTGGCCTACAAAATTGCGCGTTTTTTCGGCGCGTGCTCCTTTTCAAAATTAGTATATAGTGGCAGGGGTGGATTTATTTTGGGGAAGTGCGCTCTCCCCCCCCCCCCGTCTCTGAGGAAAAAAAACATTATTTGAAGCAACTTGTGTCGCGCAGGTATATTTACTTTGGGCTCTTTTTCCTCCCCCTACCTCACATGATCATCAATTTTATGAAGTAACGGGGTTTTTTAGAAGGTCAAAAGAGAAGACCAATAATCTTTGTCATGGCCTAATCAGTCCGTTTCAAAAGCATCGGACAATGTGAACAAAATAGGTAAAAGTTGCAGGTGGGGTGGGAAGGAACAAGAATTTGCGTCGAGAAATTTCATTGACCGATAAAATTACCAATTGTATTGCCAGAAGGCAATTGAACCTAAGATGACTGGCAAAAAATGAACTCTTTTCTATTTGTTTGTAGTTTCTGTCGTGTGGGGGAGATCTATCGGCGACAGGGTCGGACCAAACCTTCTCTTCGAATGGATACCCAAGCAGCAACTACAAGAACGATCAAAACTGCAAATGGCTGATCACCACTGCTAGTGAGTAACTTACCATGCAAACCTGACTTGTCCTTTCCAAAAGTTTTATCTTTCTTATTCTCTAAGTTTGAGACAACTTAATGAATTCAAGGAACTAAATTTAACAGAAAGCAAGTCGTAAAGATTCCTACTAAGTGCTAATGAGGAGTTATTGAAGTAAGTTAAGGGACATCGCTGAAAAAAAATTGCTAAAAAACGACAACGTTGATGCTTTTAGAGTTCTAATTTCATCTGACTATCTGATCTAATGTTCGTCTTCAACCTAATCATCAAAATATTGATTGCTCAAGGATAAAGAAGGAGAAGGGATTTTGTAGTGTTTATGAAAGAAGGTTTAAGAAACGAAACAATTTTTATAACAAACTACAACAATATTCAAATAATCACCATTCATTTCTAGGAGACTCTGTGGAGACTTAACATGCATTTATATTCCACTAAGTTCAGGTAATAAAAAACCACAAATGTCCTACATGAAATTTTCGGCTAATCAATTAGTTTGCGGTGACTCCAATGAAAATTCTAATGGTTCATCAGAAACTTTATTAGGATATAATTTGAAAATAATTAACACAACAACTTCTACATGAGTAGTAACTAGATCCAAAAGCAGTAGAGCAACAAGGAAGAGTACACGAGCGTCATGAAAACAGCAATAAAAGAATAATTACACACTACCTTTCAGCAGCAAATCTAATGCCAAAGTAAATGAACTGAACCAGTTTAAATACAAAAAAAAAACGAAAAAAATCCAAAAAGTTTTCATCGGTTATGGGTTTTACTAAATTAAGACCATAGGAAATGAACGGAATTTTCTGAACTGGAAAATATCTTTAATTGACTGCCAACTGCGTTCAAAAAGTTTGAGAACTTTTTCACACTCAAATTTATTGAGTTCTTCTCAAAAAAAAGGCAAATAAAAAATTTTGAAAACACTTGGATCGATAACCAAAATAAAAATGCTGTTGCAAAACAAAACGGACGGAGACAAGGTTAGTTAAAAACAGGTCAAACAAAAGTTAGTGACAATTTGGAAACAGACGCAAACAAAAATTGCACTTATTTAGAAAAAACCTTAAATACTATCAAAAGAGATTACTGAACAAGTGAAGAAAAAATCTACTCACTTTTCCATCAAGATAGATTAGATGAACAGCGAAAGAGATCTAATTACAAATTTTCAAGGAGCTGACTAGAAACAAAAAAAAACAAAGCGAAAGTACATAGAGAAATCATCGGTGAATAATATCAGTGATTTTGTTGTCAACACTAGGTAAAAAATCCAACCAAAATGAAACTAAAAGTTATTTCAATGGTCCTGTTGCCAAATAATCTGTGAAACAAGAAACAATTTGGAAAACTGCCTACTGACTTACAATTTAAAACCAGCACAAACACTTTCGATTTGAAATATGTTTATGTAAAAAGACTAACGCCATCCAAAATTTCAACACTTATTGTGTTTTTTCCAAAAAATTTGATTAACAGATTAACAGTTTTGCTCAAAATGCGCTAAGTTAGCAAAAATCATTCCGTTTTACAAAGAAGAGTGATCTTACCTGATAGAAAGTTTTAGACCAATTTCATTGCTTCCTGCTCTTCGAAAACTTCCAAAATGTTGATTCTTAACAAAATTATGAGTTTACTGCAAAAACAATGTTTCAATTTCAAAAAAAGTATATTCAATTTGGGTTCAAAGCAAAATCCGTGAGTTGCTACTCGTCATACAATCAATTTTCTGCAATCTTAGTAAGTTCGACAGTCTGTACATCGCTATGTCTTCATGGCCCTAAGTTGACTGTTCAGCTCATCGGACTGATCTGCATCATCCTCCATTTTGACGCACCAAATCTTTTCTAATGGCTTTGACTCCTGTTCAAATGTCTCTAAGTCAATCCAGCGGTAACAGGCTCATTGAACGCTTTGACACCGCTATCAGCATCGAGCCGTCTGCCGCGTTATCAAAGATGCTCTCACTCGAGAACAGGCAGCTATCGCTATCAGGATCTTGAAACACCTCCCTTTCTAAGTCTCTTGACCGAGTCTCCACCAACAATGTGTGGAACGCCAAATCCGATGCTTCAGATCCCATGCTCGAGTTTCTGTCTGAGTACGTGTCAGTCTCCAATTTCTTTGAGACATTCTCGGCAGAGGAGTCAACCGAAGAGCACGTCTCAATGACAGAACCTGATGTAATTGATCTACTCATCCATCTTAAATCCCCGGACAAAACTTATTCCACTGGATTTTGTCTATCTACGTCTCCGTTTCCTTCAGTTCCCGACTCCTCGGACAAGTTCTCCAGCCTCGAGTGTTCTGATTCAACGCAAAAGTTGCAGTAGTGAAAACGGTTGGACTAATGAGATCTTACTGGGAAAATAAAAACAGAATCAAGCAATAAACATTCTTGGTTCTAAAAAAAAGATTTTAAAACAGTATATCACGAGTTTTTAACTTCAAAATATTTTTCATGTAGCTTGAGAGAAACCGTACTTGATCTAATGAAATCATACCTATAAGACTGGAAACAGAACCTACAAGCAAGCAAAAGTCTTCAAACTTATTTAATGTAATGAATGATGTGCTACAAGGGTCTGTCCTTTGCCTTTTCCTCTTCATTGTTTTCGTAAGTGGTCTACATCCTGATACAGAAACACAGTAATTTCAACTACCACTTCAGAAAATGTCAATCAAGAAGAATTAGTTGAGACTATTAAATGGCTGGAGAACAAAACACTTACTCTTAGGACTGACATAGCAAAAACTACCACTTTCAAAAAAGCAGGTGAAAAAAAAATTTTCGATTTTGGGTTTCAAATGAATTAGCCGTTGAAAAAAAAACTTATTATAAACGCTTAGATATTACAATTGACTCTGATCACAAATTTAACAGCGGTGTGGAAATTTTTTGTAAACAAAATTTGAACACTTTCTGCGGCAAAACCTATCAGCTTCGCAAGTTTTTAACAACATCACAAAGGATACAAGTTTTAACACTCAAAATCAGCCTGATTTTCAATACGGCATAATTATCTATAGCTCATCGAAAGAGACTAGAAACAAACATCTTGATCCGTCTTTTAGAAAACTGCAGGAAATAATTTTCTTTTCCACAGGACAATGTTTTAGACTCCATATCAATTATCTGAGTTTTCTCATCTCTACAGTGCTAGTGATTATGAACTTTTAGTTTCCTATGTTTCCAGCTTTAAACTATACTCTTCATCGAATGTATAATTTAAATTTCCTTTTTCGATTTTATTTATGTATGTGTTAGCCTTATGTTTTTCTATATTTTCAGCATTATATAAATTGTACAAAAAAAACCTGGCTTAGAGACGTTTGCAAATGGACTATTTGGTCTAATGGCGTTCTCTCAGGCTTCACTCTGGGATTTAGGGGTTACAAATATCTTCTACCAGTGTACTAGTTTGTAAGCCTGATAACAATTTATTATATTTACTCTTTCTCTAGATACTAGAATTTGTAAACTTTTTAGTGCAGACCCAATTCTCTGCACTATGATTTTTCAATGGCCTCTATGAACCTTTTCTGGTTTTGTTTGGGTGGTAGGGTGATAACGAATCTCAAAACTAAAAAATTGAATTGCTAACCAATAAATCTCTCTAATTGCACCAAAAAACGCTCTTCATTTTCCGGATTTGTGGGTACTTCCCGAATCGAATTCCAAGGATCGTCAGCGACTTATATTTTGAGTTCTGGTCGCTGCAATTGATAGCTTCAATTTTGAGTTCTGATCGCTTCAGTTCAAAAATATTTTCGGCCTTTTTGAGGGGCCAAAAGACATTAAGACATTACATTACCTCCGCCCCTCTCTTGCCTTGTGCTGCCAAATGACATAACTTCCGAACCCCCAAAACCCCTCTTTACTCACTTACACACTGAACAGAGCGAATCAGTTTAGTTTAATTTCAGCTGCCGGAGAGATAATCGAGTTATCAATTGCTGCTCAGTTTGATATTGAAGATGAGAGCGATGGGAATTGTGACTACGACTCTCTCACTTTCTACAATGGAGAAACCGCGAATTCTAATGACGTCATTAAAGTGAACAACCGAAACAAACTTTGTGGCAACGTTGCTCCCACTGCCCCCATTCGCTCTACAGGCAAGGAGAAACAAAAAATAGGACTGCTTGTATCAGGGTGGCGCCCTGAATGCTCTGAGTGCCCATCCACGTCTTTACAGTGGTGTTCGGTTTTAATAAAAAATCACTTTTTCAAAAAAAAAAAAATTTTTTTCCAATTTTTTTTTCCAATTTTTTTGTTTGGTTTTATTAGACCATCGCCCCGCAATGTGAAGAACAAAAAGATATCTTTCGCCCACAGTAAAGTTTTAAATAGACCAGCTCGCGATCCTCAAGTCAGTTTAGAACATTTGCTAAGAGGATCGGGGCTCCGTTTACTCGATAATAGCTAGAAAAACATCGCGCGTTAATTATCTCAAATTGGTCAAATTGACAATCTGTAACTTTACGAAAAATGATCACGATATAAGTATCTTTTTGAATATAGCTCAGTACAACAGTAACTTTCGGATGATGCAAGAAAATTCCATCTAAGATGACTAAGAACTCCATCAGAAGTCGAAATCGGTCAAAAATAGAAAAAATTGGTCTGGAGAATTTCGACTCAACATAGCCAAAAATTCCATCAAAAGTTGAATTTGGTCTGGAGAAAAAACCACCCAAACACAAATAATCCGTCACGTTCTTCGAAAATCAGAATAAAAAGACAAGACTGCTCGTATCAGGGCGAAGCCCTGGGTAATCAGATTGCCCTTTAAGTTTTATGTTTGCTTGAAAAAATGGATGCAATTTCCGAAAAAATGGAAACAAAAATTTTTTTTTTCTGTAGAATAATTTTTTAAATCATCCCCCCGCTCGCTGCGGAAAATGATATCTTTCACATATAGTAAAATTTTAATCATAACAAATAGCATGCCTCAATTTCATTTCGAGGGATTCCCAATACTGATGAATTCTACGCTTACGCGTTATTCGCTCGAAATGGGGTTTAAGAAATTAGACGACGAAAAATTATATAATCAGAAAATAATTAGACAATCCCCCCACACGCCATATAAAACTCAAATTGATAAATTTTGCTTCTGGTAACAAATCAATTATGGCTTTGTTCAACCAATTTGGAAGGATTTCTAAGACGGATTAAATCTCCGCTTACGCGTTAATAGCGCGAAATATATCGCTCGTTTACTGTCCCAAATTGGCCAAAATGGCAATCTGTAAACCCCCATAACTTTACAAAAAATGATCACAAGTGAAACATCTTTTCAAAGTTAAGCTTAGGACAACAATAGCTTTTGAATGATATAAAAAAATCCGTCAAAAATGGCTAGTTAAAAAGTCGAAATTTGTCTGAAGAAAAAAAAAATCACCCCGAGCAGAAATATTCGTTAGCAAAGTCGGAACAACAAGTTTGTAGTGCGTGTTTTAATTCAAATTCAAATATTTTTGTAATGTGGGTTAGTTTGCGACGCATATAGAAATTGAGTTACACTTTCAGTTTCATAAAATAAATCATCATAACGCGCATGAACCAGTCCATAGCATGGCCAAATGGGCAATTTGAGAGCATAACCAAATCGGCAATAGATTAGTCAGAAAATGGTCTAATTGACTAGTTACAACAATTTTATACAATTGAAATAAATCCGGGAGTCCATATCTTTTATGGGTCTTCAAAATATTTTTGCCAAAATTTAATACATCGATGGCCGAAATTTGACTGAATAATAGTTTAAAAAAACCATCCTAAGCATAAATCATCCGCACTTTCTCGTTATTTGGAACAAATATTTGAAGATTTTTTTTCTAGTTTAAATTGACGTCTGCATTATCTTTCATGAGATTGAACTAGGTAAATTAAAGGCTTTAGTTTCCAGTTTTCTTTGCCCCAACAACGGTAATCAAGGAGTTAACTCACATCTGGATTTTTACGTTTAACAAGCGAAAATTTAAACAAAATCATTCTATTGAGACGAAATGAGGTCTATAAGCTTGGGCTCTTTTTTCACAACAAAATTCATATTGGCAAAAAAAACTAAAATGAGACCTATGTTGATCGGGACTTGGTTTCAACTGTTGACAACCGAAAGCTTTGAATGGTGTTAGCAAATAACCAACCAACTCCCTCTTTCTCGATGAAAAATCAAGTGAAAATCCCCAACTTTCAACCAAATTAACATCCTTTATAATCGTTTTTGGGAGAGGAAGTTAACTGGATCCGAATTGTGAAGGTACCAATAAATCTTAGTTCTTATTTCCAGGCACCAAATTACTGGTTGTATTTGTAAGCGACGGAACTGAGCGTCGAACTGGCTTCCAAATAACCTACAAATCAGCCGCGCCACCTTCCCGCGCGCGGGCCAAGCGGGAGGCGGAGGAGTCCCTTTCAAACATAAACAAAAGATACCTGGACACGAATATGCCCGAATCGCAAACTCGAAGTAAAAGGAAAGTTAAGAAAACGCAGCGGGTTCGAAGAACCAACGACTATACTTACGACTACAGTTACTGGGAAAACTACGATGCAAGGTATGATAACTTTGATCCCTATGAGCAGTTTGACGAAAACATGGCTGAATTCGACTGGCGCAGTGCGTATGACGACTCGACGGCTCTCGACTACTCGGATATCAGACCATTCGCCCGATTTCCTATAGAAGACCTGAACTACCTCGGAACCCAAGCAAACGATTTTATTGTCCAATGTACTTATGACGGTCGCGAGTGTAGCCCTACTCAGTTTAAAAGGTACGCAAATCCGAAGTACGGAAACTGTTTCATTTACAATTCGATTTTTGATGCGAGCAGAAAGAATGGACTATACTCAGCAATCAGAAATACATCCAAAACTGGGGAAGAGTTCGGGCTGAAATTGACTTTGTTCTTGGACAAGGAAGAATACATTGGAGTTTTGAGCCAGAATTCTGCTGCTCGTGTAAGAAATCAAATTCTTTTTTATGAAACTAGCAAAATTGTTCATCAAAAGGTGACCGCCTTAGCTAATGAGTTTCAATAAATTATTTTGAATTCTTGCCGAACGAAATTAATTATCTGCTATTCACATCATGTGGTTTTTTCTCCATGAAAAATCCTAAAACTTGATCACGCTTTTTTGGGATTTTATTTTGGTTTCCGTTACAGTAGTATTCACCGAAAGCAAATTGCGCTCTCCACTTACAAAAAAGTAAATAGCGTGAAAATAAATCTAGAATATTTTAAATTTTGTACGTCTTTTGTATGTATGCTGGTTTTCTTTAAAAGTGATTCGTGCAGACAGGTTAATCAGAACAATATTTTTTCATGGATTTCTCAAAAAAGTTGTTCATTGTTTTTTCAAGACTGTTTTTTAACGACAGTTTTTTGCGGCAAATGGAAAAATCGATGAAGCCGTTTGAAGCATATGTATGCCTCCGGTTTTTTTTTCTCAAAAGTGTTTTAGTTTCTTGAATGGGGTTGCTTGCGTTTTTTGCTTCATTCATTGTTTTCTCTTGAAAGTCAATCATTGATTTTTGACGACTTAGAGCTCCCCCGCCGTATGAGATCGTTCCCACATTTTGTGCTAATAACCATTAAAAAAAATCAACGTTTTTCTTTTTCTTTTTTGGAGATAAAGGGATCTTGTTAACTATCCCCCCTATGGTACCTTGCAACGAACCCCCCCTCCCCCTATAAAGAAAGAAGCAAACAGTTACCCCCCCCACCCCTATTGCAGTAGGGGAAGAAATAGTTAACAAGATCCGAGATTTAAAAAAAATATCGTTTAAGCGGATTAGATTTAGCAAAAATACCTTAGCCACACAATTTTTGTTAGTTTCAACTCCATTTTGATATCGATACACTGGGTTATCAAGGTTTTGAGTGTCATTAAGATTTTTCGCGGATAAGGGAATTTTTTCTTTTTGGATTGAAAGAAAAAACCTAAAAGAGTACAATTGATAGAAGAAATTACAATATATTCAGACTTCTGTATAATGTTTTAATAATTTTTCTAGCGTAGACAGACGTAAGTGTAGATAAATCGCTTCGTCCTTGAAATGATTGTTCCACCACTTTTCTTCAAATTGCCTTCGAGCTTTGTAATCGGCATCTTGATCCTGATAGTAGAAAAACCTGATTATTGCAGTAGACATTAAGTATTATGGTAGATATGCTTTCAATGCTATGCTTTCAATTTTACAAATTCGAGTTGTTAAGAATGTTTCTACAGAAAAATTGACTGTTTTTCAACAAATTTTATTCAACTCTTGCATTGGGCGGTGGGGGACATACTGCGTCCTTGCATGTCTTCTGTTCCCGGAGCCTCTTATTGAGTTCTTCATAAAGTTGATGTTAAAACTATTACCGTTCGCGATTTCAATCCTCACAATTTTGTTTCCTGTTTGCAAGCTAACGCATCACAGCCATCGTTTTACCATCTTCTGCCTCTCGCTGTAATCAGTCCCGCCATTGCTTCATCCATTTTCAAGTCCTCTTGGTCTTTGCTCATAGTAGCCATCACATTGATTTTTAAAAGTTCAAGTATTATTCAGCTCAAATTAGAACTCAATATTTTTAATTTCAGAACTCAAGCTTCTTCAATTTCAAAATAATGCTATGCAATTGAAACGCACAGCACAAGAAAAAAACTTTCCGGCAAAGTTAAAGCGTCCGTTCAGTAGAAATTCTCTTCTCTCTAATCATATCGATTAATATTATTTGAAAAACACCACATTGTTGGCAATATCCGTGATTTTGAGCATTTGTGTTGGAAAAAAAACGACGCTTCTTATGTTAATTGGATTTTTCACTGGAATTTTTTAAATGAAGAAGAGTATTAATGGGGAAGAGTAAAAAATTGATTTTCAGATGTGATAACAGATGTGATAGATTCAGATGTGATAACTTTGTAGGTAATACTGAATGCGCCTTACATCCCCCCTTTGCCCGAGGCCGAATCGTGGACTGCGTCTGCGGGAACAACGACCCTGGTTGCCGTCAAACAAGAAATCATTGAGAGAAAGTGAGTAACACAATTTTGCGTCATAATTTTCCTCCCATGCCAAATCTCATGAAATTATATTACATTGACGCATTCAGAGGTCATAGATGACGTTCCTCTCATCTCTGGCGGCTACTTTTTCCGTGTCTGTACAAAACAGTCCCATACAAAACAGTCCAATTCAAAACAGTTCGAAAAACAGTCCCAAGTAATAATTGTTTTAACAAGCCGGTAGGCCGAGAATTTTCCCTTGTTCAACAAACATAATGAACAAAATAGTGACCGCCGCAGTCGTGCCAACGTGTTGCGAGCTTGCCAACAGAGGGTAGGACTTAATACGAGTTTTAGAGCCGGTTATTGCGCACCCACCGGCGACCTTAAACCGGACTGTTTTGTATTGGACTGTTTTGTATGGGACTGCTTTGTATATGCACCTACTTTTTCCTTAAGCGTCTTCCTGGTTTGAGAATCCTACAAAAATCCCCTATTTTAGACCTTTTTATAAGATTTGCTGGAAAATTCTCGTCTTTCAACTTTCTTACAAAAAATTGAAAGGTGATTTTTCGAAATAAATACTTTGAAACAAAAGCTTCCGACTTTTAGTGATTTGAATTTTTTCACACAGTTCTCACAGCTTTTCTTAAAAGAAAATTCGTTAGGATAGGAACTTTTTCACAAAACAATCTTAATTGATATCAACAGATTTATTCATTGTAATAAGTTGTTCGCGCTGGTTGGATGATCGTTTTCTAAATTTTCTCAAAAGCATTTTTAGAGGCGGAAAGTACGGTGATTGTAGGACAAGTTGGCCGAACTTTTTGGCCTTGGACAAATCTTTCACCGAGCAGTGGCCCCGATATGACCAGACGATTTGTGAACATTACTGCGTGCAAGCTGAGATTTTCC